CAGCAACAAACGACAACCACTGAATCACAGGCTCCTGACTTGGGACAGGCATATACAGAATGTGGCGGGGTTAAACATATATGCGGACGTCAAATCCGCCCCCTAACCTGGGATAGTCGGGTGTAATTAACAGTACAACATATGAACAAACTATAAAAATCAGTTGAGAAGGGCTCAGCTCTTCAGATAGATACAAAGCATAAAAACAAGCAACAAAACACAGACCGGACGTGGCAGGGTATTTATACATCCCCCACAACAAAAAAGACACTAAGTACAAATCTGAGAGTACTCTTAGTTACTGACAGCTAGTTCAAAGCCGATAACAACTAATACCAATAATTGATTGTAACAGGATTTTGTTACGAAGTCTCCCAAACAAAGCTCCCATAATTACAGTCATTCCCAGGGTCGCCGGACATTGGACAAAGTCCAGTAAAAATTGGTTTGGTCCATTCAAGTGATATGCATTAGTGACCCCTGGGGACTGACCCTATATAGCATTCAAATCTTCGTGACATGACGAACAGGAATATATATGGTTTAGGGGTTTGAATCTCGATTATTTACAAGATATTTGAACATATTCAAATGACAGGGGGTGGGGATGACCCCTTTGGTCTTACCCTTTATATCATTTAAATCATCTTGGCATGACAAACCAGAATATATATGGTTTAGGGGGGATCTTGACCACTTACAAGATATTATAACTTTCTCAAATGGCAGGGGTTGGTGTGACCCCTGGGGATTAACCCTTTATTTCATTTGATGTGCTTTATCATGACAAACCAGAATATATATGGTTTAGGGGTGGGGATCCTTACCACTTACAAGATATTAGAACTTTCTCAAATGGCAAGGGGTGGGGTGACCCATGGGGACTAACCTTTTATTTCATTTGATGTGCTTTATCATGACAAACCAGAATATATATGGTTTAGGGGTGAGGATCTTAACCACTTACAAGATATTAGAACTTTCTCAAATGGCAGTGGGTGGGTGACCCCTGGGAACTAACCTATTATTTCATTTGATGTGTTTTATCATGTAGAACATTTTCAATTATAAAGATTATGTCTTAGTCTATCACTAACTGTTTCAAGTTATAATCATTAGAAAATTTAAAAAAATTTAAATCCCATATAGGGTTCTATAGTTAGTCTAACATATTGTGGAACTGTGACAGCGATATTTTCCTCTTTGTTTTATTTCGTGGAAATTCAAACTTTATCTAAAAGCAAGCGACTATTGTTCTCGAAATTGTTAGCTTACATGTTGAGAAGTTAATCCATTTTAATCCTAGCATTGTCCATTTCTTGTTATCATATATATGTTTTTAAATTGTATTATTTGTTTAAATCATTAAGTGACAAATTTCACTGATTATTACATGTAGTTATGATTAAGTAAGATTACGTAATTCATATTAGATCGTTTCTATGTAAATGGTCAGTTGGATACCAGCGGTCAAGCTGTACGGACACCGTACATTTACAGTGACATTCATTGTGTTTAGTCAGAGACATATTTAGTATATATGTCTCTGGTTTAGTATAGAACATTTATTTTATCTTTTCGGAATATAAACGTTGAACTTTTATTGTAATTAATGTATTGCACTATTGAAGAAGTTATATATAAACCATCGTAAAGCTTAACTTAGTTTTGTTGATTAGCCAGTGATTTTCCCCCGAATTCTAAATATAACAGGAACGACGAAAAACCCTGTTATAGAACCCTAAGTTAATCTGACTAGCGGTTTTGGAGAACGGGTGCGGACAAGTTCAAATTTAAGAAGAAGAAGAAGAATACTGATAACAAAATACAAAATCAATATTTTTACCAATGAAAACAATATGTAAAGATCTAATTACAGTGATTGAATTGGTAACATTTTAGAATAAGTTTATTTAAAGGATCTATAAGTTTACCCGGGTTATATCAAAATTTCAAGGCTCGCGGTAAGCAACATCTCCGTAAAAATTAAGATGTGCTTTCCCCTTTGAAATAAGTTTTCTACAGGTACAGCCCGCAAACTTCCAAACAAATTTTGTATCTATGGAAGAATTAAGTAAAGGTTTTAATTTGTGGTAACGAAATCCCTGACTTAATAATTTATAGAATACATAGAAATATGGTCATCTAAATCCAAAACGTCACTACATACATGGACATAGCGAATGAGTTGTGAAATATAAACACCGTAAGATGTTGCCAATGGAACATCACCATCCAAAAAAGGAAAAAATCGTCCCTTTAGTCTTAAATTTGTGTAGAGTTTCCAGTGTAAAACTGAAATATCTAAATCTAGGAAAGGACAGTATTATCGTTTATATTTGACTTATTTAATAAAAGTAAGTTCCTTTGGGTAAATTTCGGCAGTATATTTAGAAATTTCTTGCCGATGAAAAATATCATCAAGATAACGATATAAAAGTGTTGTTGAATTTATCAATTAAATGCAATTTAGACGGGTCGATACTGGATTTGGCCATGAAATGTGATTCCGATGATAACAGTACAAGAACAAATCTGGTATATACTAGTGAAGGTATTTTTTTTAGAGACAAGTGCCGAAAACGCTGCCAATTGGATGTTTAATGTCATCATCCATGACAGGTCAGTAGAATCCTGATCCGTAGAATGAAAGGTCCATGTAAATGTAAAGTTGCAGCAAAATACAGACATAAATGTCAGCTACTTGAAATTTTCTGATGGTTCGCTAAATCGATTTGACAGATTATGATACACATGCGAGCTTTGTATAATATGTCTCTGATACAACGTATATAGCGTAGGTAGACATGTTTTCTAAAAGTAACCATTGGGCAAACTCAGCTTTGTGTGTATGGTATGACAGGTTGTTTGCTTCACGTCCAGTGACAACTATTTCACACATGTTCAGGACAATGGTTTGCCAGTACAGTGTTGTCTACCCGACAGGATTTTTCAAATGTTTATATTTATTGTAGATGGATAAAAATTTGGACAAGGAACATATATTTGGCGAGTATTGGTGTAATGTTCAAATTGTCATTACCAAGTCAAATGATTGTTAGATTGTGGGTAACAATTTAACTAACTCACCAACACTAGATAATGAATTTGGACATTCTATCTATAATTTCTGACTTGAAATTTTGTTCTGACGAAATACTTTTCAGCATGATAGGTTCTGTAGTTAACAAAGCATTATAGCTCTACACAAGTCATTAATGTTTTATTGTTTCAATATTATGAATGGAAACTTTATCCTATTAGCTTATGTTATTGATTGCTGATTGATTAACATCTAGTAGCATGCAAATACTGTACGCATGTTCAAGTCGATATGATGACATTGATGTTTAGGATGTACTTATCAGCAGGGTCTTATTAACTCAAAAGTAATACATTCATACATTCATGCAAAGATAGAATAAAATAATTCCAATGTTGTCTTAGTTCATTCATGAGCCTCGTATAATGAACCAAAAGGTTTATACAGATCTATACAGGTATGCAGTCCTTTCATGACATTGCTAGTATATGAATTTTACACAGAAGTAGTTCACTAAGTGATGCTGAAATTTTGTATCTTTAAATTATTTTTAGTGCATTTTATTGAAATCATAATTAATAAGGTCAATTTACAGTTTATATTGATTTGTAAACCTTTAAATCACGAACTTACCAAAACGTCCTTTGGTGTTAATAAAATTTGTGAGAGAGTCAGTTTAGGTAACACATCAATAAACTTCTATGAAATAACCTTCCTTACCATATTAAATTGTCCAAAATAAGTTTGTATTATTCACTGTAATTATCAATGCCCCAGTCTCTGTTTGTATTAGGGTCTGGAGGAGAAACCTCAATTTCTGTATTCTTTAATTTTAAAGGCTATTTTTCTCAAATCTTTATTTTTATTTCCCATTATTCTCTATTTTTTATATTTTAACATACATTTTTCTCTATTCTTAATTTTTGTTGTCAATTATTCTCTATTCGGTTAACCCCATCCAGACCCTCTTCTATGAGGAACAATGCATATAAAATTCTATGGGGTTCTATATGATTATGTTCCATAGCTGCAAACTCCCTTACTTTCATTGGCTTTTATGAAAGACCTTCCTCAAACCTTTGTTTTATTAAGCAGATTAATTCTGACAAATAGCATTTCAGGAAAAACCATTGTAATAAGACATAAAATCGTTTTGTGATAGTTATCCTCAATTGTGACATCACCAAATGACTAACCACCAAATTTGTACTTATCAACACAACAGGATCCACTAGTGGATCAGCATCTGCTTTGTGCTTACCATTCCGCAGCACATAAGATATCCCCCAGTTTTTGGTGGGTTTCATATTGTTCAAAACTATTAGTTTTCTAGTGTTTTGTGTACATGTTGGTCTACATTTTGTAGTTGTATAAATAATAAGCCAATGGTCTTAAAATATGCAATCAAACTTTAAAGTTATTCCAAAACTTAAGCAACAAATATATATTTTACACAAACCAATTTAAATATCAAAAATAAGAAGACAGAATAAATAAAAAATTGCTGTACATATTTTTTAATGGAAAGATAACTTTATACAAACAAATAGCTGATTATACAATATGAATTTGCTCATTTTTGAAGGTTCTAAGGTGACCTACAATTGCATTCATCCACGTCATTTGAACTTTGGTGGATAGTAGTCTCAGACATTGGCAATCATACCACATCTCCTTATTTTTAATAATTTTCAATATACTTATCAGATTCTATATGGAATATAAGAGTGTAGCCATTTTTTTGGTCCAATACAAGTTTATACATCAAGAGAAAAGTTGTCAATCAGATGTACATATTTTCAATGTATTTAATTTCATCTACGTGATGTATTTATTACTGAGGAATAGACTTAATCCTGAAAACTTAACTGCATATCCAAAGGTTCTACTTGTGTCTCTGACACTCTCCTCAATAGATATGAGACAATACATATAAATTCATTTTAAAATAATGTACGAAATAATTTTTGTTTTTATTAAAATCAATCATAAGGAAGCATCTTAGTTTTAATTTTGGGTTGTCCATCAGGTAACCATTCATCAGGGTTAACATCATAGTCTTTCATTGCTTTATGTAAAAATACCCATCTTCCAAATATACCAACATCAACAACTGACTTGTACCATTCTGTCCAGTGTGGTCTGGCATAGGTACAATTGGCTTCAAACAAACCGGAATGAACTGGAAATTCTCTCATCGAAACTAAGGTAAAAAATTTCAAATTTCGAACTTTCAATGTATTATCTTTCATTGCTGTCATCAATGTGGTCACATGATTGTCTGATTGTGGGTTACGTATCAACTCACCAACACTGGATAAAGAATTTGAACATTCTACAATTTCTGATTTAAAATTTTGTTCTGACGGATTAGTTTTCAGCATGATAATGCTTGTAGTTAACAACGATCCATAGAATGAAGCCTTCACTGGACGATTTTTTATATCTTGTAATGTCTCATTAAATACTACTCTGTAGTCATTGAATATGTTGAACAAATAATTTCCTGTAAATAAATAAGTAAAAAATTGAAACAATCTTAAAATATCATTTTTACAATATTCATAAAAATAAAGTTGGACAGATAGTCAGGATATTTGTAATGGATAAGGTTGAATAAATCATTTTACTTGGATTTTTTTTATGTTTGCCAATGCAAGCCTTTATTTTAAATGAAGCAGCTATAACAATCAGCTTATTGCAAACATATATGATGAATGAAGATCAGTAGTGTTCCTTCTTCTGGTTCTGCTTCTCCTACAATTCTGTCTGGGCTATTACTTTTTTTTTATGTTTTGACACTGGCTTATGATATTTGACAAGAATTTGTATAAGTATCAACCATAAATTGGTGCGTCTCATATCATCATGACCTCTATGTGACACTGTGATCACCAACCTCAGAAGTCAAAATACTTGATTTGTTCTGACATTTATGTGTCCAGAACATTATTTTTTCTCATATAACATAGGCTTATGATAATTTTGCATATGGATGCTGGAAATCAGGACACTGTGTTATGTACACCTTGACTGTTAACCATGAAGGTTAATTAATTTTTTTTGGCATGTCCACACCAATACAATATATTATTCTTTTGTCATTGCAAGACCTTTTTAATGCAACTGATTAGGATTAGCCTATGCAAAGTCATTTTACCTCAAGGTCAGAATTTTCATATTCATAACATAACTTTTTTTATCCTTTCACAAATGATTATGATATTTGGCATATTGGTGCAGCACCTCATGATAATGTGTTTTTTTGTACCATTAAAGATTACCTAAGATGACCTTGTCCTACGACCTTGAAGGTAAAATAATTTATTTATGTATGTCCACCTCAATACCATTTAAATTTTTGTTCACACAGCAAAATCTTTTAAGGCAAATAATGATTTGCCCATGCAAAAAGACCTTTTACCCCAAGGTCAGATTATCTTATTTTGGGGGATTTTCATGTCTATAACATACCTTTTTCTATCCTTTGACCCTGATTGGATAGGGGGCATGCTCCACCACCTCATATCATAAATTTTTAAATATATTGAAAATAATTAAGATAACATTCCCATCATGCCCATCCATAATTCATGTAATTAAATACAATTTTCCAAAATTGTAAATAAAATGTTGTCCATGAAAATGTTGAGTTTTTAAAACAATTAAACAGACCATTACTAACTAATTGGCTTCAATTTACTATTTACATTTCCTGTCAATCGTCTACTGTCTGGACAGATTGTAACACTTAAAAAAAAAAAAATGATTTTTTTTTAATATGTCATTTTAATATTTACTATTGGAAGTTCTGTATAAATTTTAAAGAAGAGAAAAAAGTATACTATTGAAAAACTTTGTAAAAGCATGTTTCATAAGATATTTTTTAAACTTTAATATTTAAAAAAAATCATGTTTGCCAAAATAACTACATCAGATACTGCATTGACTATTTGCTAATTTGATTAGTTACCAGTTTGACTAAACCAGCTGCTGAATGGTCAAATTGGTAACTAAATTCAGCACCGGACACTGAATCCCAAATAGTTCAATGTTATGTATTTTATGTATAGAATAGAATAGAATAGAATAGAATAGAATAGAATAGAATAGAATAGAATAGAATAGAATAGAATAGAATAGAATAGATTATTTATATGTCATTTATATTCGGTAAAAAGCTCTCAAAGAGCTTATGTTTGTACTGTTATATGTGAACCAAATTAATATAAAACTTTTGTATTCGTATTCGAAGTGACTATTTTTATGGGGTGTGGACAAACCACACAAAAAACAAAAGTTACTTCTAATGAATATTGAAGTCGAGATTCAAAGAGTAGTTTGACTGTTATAGACAGAGCGTCATGACGCTAATTAATCCCATCAGAGACATCTACGGGTCTGTAAACAAATAAACGTATTTACACTTTTGGTATTTAGCTATATTTTGCCTCTGAATGACCTTAGATCTACTCCGAATCACCTTTTGACGTCAGGCAACAATCACTTTTTAATTGTGACGTCAAATGTTTTGAATTATGATGTCAAAGTTTACGGGAACCTGTGTGATTTTACGTAATGGCGGACAAATTTGCATACAAGTGTAAATACGTCTATACATGTGGCACAAGAAAAGGGGGAGGGGTTAAAAAATAAAATTGCTTCGGGTGCTTTTGTTGTAATGTACCTAATCTTTCAAGCTTCCCTCCTTTAAGTTTTGTTGGGACAGTTGGTTTAAATTTTGTAATAAGCCTTGATGATGATTTGAGTCTTGAAACTGAAGTCATCTTCGTCCTTCAAAGAGATCGATAAAGTCAAAAGAGTTCCAAACAAAGACAAAAAATAAAAGTCATCGCTCCCGACCCCATCCGATAATTATATTAAAAATCACGATCTGCATTTATTATCATTTTTTGGACCGAATCGTTTAATCTTAATACCTTATAATTCAAAGTAATTGTATGAGTTTGTACATGACAATGTAGATATATAAATGCTACTGTAAGTTATGGAGGAATAAATAGTACAGAACAGGAGGCGCTGTCATTATTTTGTACTATTTTTGTTATTTTGATATTTGGTTTTCTCTAGAGTGATCTTTTGAAAAATGGACACGAAAGTTGACGTGGAAGACGAAATTGTAAACAAAGCTTTATGTATTGTAACGATAATGTTTTAGTATTGTTTGAGATATGAACTATGCAGTAAACCTAATATCCAAAAACTTTTTTCACACAGATATTTTTAAGAATTTCAAGAATTTTACCAAATTATAACCCTGCTTCGGGTTCTCTGCTTCTACATGTCCTATCACCAAAAATGGCAAAATAATTAGTTCAGATAATTATGACGTCTTGAAAGGCTATTTTATTTTTTTGCTTTGATGCGTTCCTTTGATGTTACAGCAAAAACATTAAGATAGCCTTTCTAGACGTAATATTTATTTGGACTATCCTACCGTAGTCTATAATCGGTCATAATGTTGGTTCGTTCGGATTTTGTTATTGTACTTATCACACAGGAAAACTCCGCATTGACGTCACTACGCTAATACCAGCATACAAAATTAGTGCAGAATACATTTTTTCTACTCTTCTAAATAAAAAAACATTTCTTGGATATGTTTTCATTGTTATTCTAAAGTATTGTACAAAAATGCCAATTTTCTAATGGCTGTTTCAAACCTGGCTTCCGAATGCCTAAAAACATTCCAGAACTTCAGAAAATCCCTTTTCCGTCCCCCATTGCTTTGTTTACATTCCATTAAGCGTCATCAATCTTAAATTGCAGACTTTTTTTTGATTGCTTAACGTCTACTGTGGCATATATATATATATATATTTCATGTATGTTCAGGACCAGAACAAATTAACAATAAATACAATAGGTTACTTTGAATAGGGGTTGACCTGGATGAAGTGCTGGAAATTTAGACTGCCTCAGGTACATTAGGGTATATTGGATAGAGACAGAAATTTAGCCTTGCAACATGCCATCGACAGACTCCTCAAAAATGTTGCAAGGGTTCTCACTCTCCCTACACAGAGAAAAAGTATAAGTAGGACATTTTCTGATTAAGTTGCAAAAAAATCCACCCAAAGTTAACTCGTGATAACAGGTTAAATATTTTACTTAGAAATAATTAACTTTGTTCTCTATAATACCTATAGAGTTTTAGATTGCACTTTAAAATAATAAGCAATATAAGTGAAAAACTATAAATTTTTATCAAAAAAATTTAAAGGAAGTCTAGGGAGATAAGTTTTTATATCCTGATTGTGCTTAAATAGTCAGATTGAGTTGTATTAGCCTAAGTGTTACTCTTTTTACTAGAAGATATATCACTAAAACACATTGAAATGATCCTAACAACAATGCATACCACCTTTTAAAATATAATTAAAATAAAACTAACAAAATTTAAAACAGAATTACAAAGCATTCACAATGTACTTATTAAATGAATCAAGATTTGACTAAAACAAATTTATTGTTTGGCATATATACACGTATATGTTAATTATTTATATAATGCCCACAGATTTCGGTAATATTTGACATCAGGTAAAAATGAAATGTGTTATGTGATAAGGTATTACTGGTAATAATGTTACATGTACCAAAATAAATTCTTTTCTGTTTCAGGATACAAGTAAATTAGAGTTTCAAGGTAGGAACAAATGTTTTAGACATAAAGCATGATAGGTTTTACTTATAAGAGGCCATTTATGTTCTGTTTGTTGGTGTAAAGATTTGGCAGACATTGATTTTGGCATCCAGAATAAAATTGAGAATGGAAATGGGGAATGTGTTCAAAGAGACAACAACCCGACCATAGAGCAGACAACAGCCGAAGGCCACCAATGGGTCTTCAATGCAGCGAGAAACTCCCGCACCCGGAGGCGTCCTTCAGCTGGCCCCTAAACAAATATGTATACTAGTTCAGTGATAATGGACGTCATACTAAACTCCAAATTATACACAAGGAACTAAAGTTAAAAATGATACAAGACTAACAAAGGCCAGAGGCTCCTGACTTGGGACAGGCGCAAAAATGCGGCGGGGTTAAACATGTTTTTTGAGATCTCAACCCTCCCCCTATACCTCTAGCCAATGTAGAAAAAACAACCGTACAACAGTACGCACAGTAAAACTCAGTTTAAGAGAAGTCCGAGTCCGATGTCAGAATAGGAAACAAAAGAAAATAAACAAAGACCCATCGAAACAACATCTGAAACACAAATTTAATAATACTTTTAGATATTTGGATGATATTTTGGCTCTCAATAATGACGACTTCAGTATGTATACTAAAGAAATTTATCCTGTTGAACTTACTTTAAATAAAGATGATACTAAAATGACCACTGCCCTTTCCTCGATCTTGATATCTATATCAATAACGGAAAGCTTAATACTAAAATATATGATAAAAGAGATGATTTTTCATTTCCTATCGTTAATTATCCATTTTTAGATGGTGACGTTCCCTTGTCACCATCTTACGGTGTTTATATATCTCCTGACTTGGGACAGGCGCAAAAATGTGGCGGGGTTAAACATGTTTTTTGAGATCTCAACCCTCCCTCTATACCTCTAGCAAATGTAGAAAAAACAAACGTACAACAGTACGCACAGTAAAACTCAGTTTAAGAGAAGTCCGAGTCCGATGTCAGAATAGGAAACAAAAGAAAATAAACAAAATGACAATAATACATAAATAACAACAGACTACTAGCAGTTACTGACATGCCAGCTCCAGACCTCAATTAAACTGATTGAAAGATTATGTCTTCATCATTTGAATATCAGGCACAATCCCTCCTGTTAGGGGTTTAGTATTATACCGTCATAAAATATATGAGAAGAACATAACCCATGTCATGCCAACAACTGGTTTTAGAATAAATATGTTTAATTCCGATGCAAAGACCCTATAAGTGAATCAATATGAAAGCCAAAATATGCAATCTTTAATGACCTGACAACAGTATCGTAACTATATCCCTTCTTAATAAGTCTGTTTAAAGGTTTTGTTAGCTTTTGAGGTGAATACTGACATTTTTGTGCTTTGTAAAGAATATTACCATAAAAGATTGGATATGAAATACCCGAACGTATAAGATGTCTGCATGTTGAGTTATATTTACGAATGATGTCCTTATACCGATGATAAAATTTAGTAAATGTTTTGACTAGTTTATGATATCGAAAACCCTGGTGTAATAATTTTTCAGTAATATATAAATTTCTCTCGCTAAAATCTAATACGTTGTTACATACACGAGTGAATCGTACAAGTTGAGATATATAAACACCATAAGATGGTGACAAGGGAACGTCACCATCTAAAAATCCAGAAGTTTCCAAAGTCTCATTAAAAAATGAAAAACAAGAACAAAAATCTGAAACTTTGTATTATTTAATAGTATCAATTATCTAAGTCGAAATAGGAAAATTTTGATTTTCAGACAACAGAAGAGACTGATAGTTTTAACTTACATGGCACATATATCCCAAATTTAGGTGATTCCACTCTTAACCTGGTCACAGACCAAAGCATAAAGTTTATTTTATAATAGTTATATTTATCAATCCCCTTAATATTTTTTGATCGTTAAGTGTATAAAATATTTTGGCTATTTATTTTAGATTTTCCCCAAGATAAAGGAAAAGTACAGACTCATACATTTACAGATTTTCCTCACACAGCAGAATCAGATGAGGATGATGTGTATGATAAATCAGAGGTACATGTCAGTCTAGATTTATGAACAATGTCAGTCAGAATTCATCACCAATGTCAGTCTGAATTCATCACCAATGTCAGTCTGATTTCATGACCAATGTCAGTCTTAATACATCACCGATGTCTGTCTGAATTCATGAACAATGTCAGTCTTAATTCATTACTAATGTCAGTCTGAATTCAAAGTGCAACTAATAGCACCACTAATAACAAAGTCGTATAGCCTGTTGTTATTAGTGGTGCTATTTTTCTGCCTCTCCAACTCATGGTTTGCCAAAGAAAATTTTATAAACTGGTCCCTTATGTTTACCGGGAATACAGCTTTGAGCAAGTGACAATTCCAACATGGACCCAGATCAGTTATTTGATGTAACGCTCTATTTTCTAGTATTACAAAAATAGATTTACACGACAACAATTTTTAGATTAGGGTAAATAACACATGATGGTGAATAGAAGGGTTGAAAACGCATAGTTTTGACATATAATTGGATTTTCCTTTTTATGAATTGGGTTTTTGAAGGCTGCAATTGTCAATTAAATTGTTTTCATTGCGTAACACATAAATATGCAGCTTATCTGGAGCTCTGTAACTCAATATGTTATTAAAATTGTTTATTCTGCTGATTTGTTCCATTGATAAAATTGAAATTTGCTGCAGGATGAGATTTTTATGATTCATGTAGTATAATAAGATTAAGAAACTTACTGGAAAGTGAACAGCTTAAGTTTATATGATAACTTAGTAACTCTTCTTTCATCTTCAGCTTCTCAAAGAGGAAAAAACAGAATCTAAAGTGTCATTCTGGACATTTGAGTACTATCAACAATTTTTTGATGTAGAAAGCAAAGATGTACTGCAGAGAGTATTGGGATCTATGTTTCCACATCCAAATAGGAATTATCTGAAAACAAAAATCAGGCCAAATCCTGATTTATATGGTAAAATATGAGTTCATGATATCTACTTTGAAATTGACATCTTCATTATGCCAATTTCACTATGAAATATATACCGGTAAATGATTTCACAGTGTTTGAAGTTAAAAAAAATTTCTTGCAGTAGCCTACTGTTGTACTTTCAGTACCCAACAGTTTTATTAATTTGTAGAGATATATAAAATTTCAGCAGCACAGGTCAAATTTTAGGGGCCAGGAGCTACTAGACTCTGCAGTTCCCCTTCCCTGATATAAAGTACAAACAATATGTGGTAAATTACAGACAACTCAAAGTGGTTTTGAATGGGATGAAATATTTTTTGACAGTAAAAGGAAATATTTTCATTTTAAAAACATTACTTTCGTTGGAAACTTGTGATTTCTTACTTTATAATATGTTTTTAATGTATTTAATAAAAGGGAATTAGAAAAACCAACTTTGAAATTTTGCACTGATAAACATGAAATTTTCCTAATATTTTTGTTTTAGGACCATTCTGGATCTGTACAACATTAGTGTTTACCACAGCTATAGCTGGTAACCTGGCCAATTATCTGTCTATCGGTAGTTCTGCAGATTATAACTGGAAATACGATTTTCACAAAGGTAAGTTTCACATGTGGAGGAGAATCTTCTTACCCTTCAAGTGCACCCGAGATCATTCAGGTTTTTGGTGGGGTTGTTGTTGTTCAGTCTTTACTTTATATGTTATGTTTTGTATACTGTTGTTTGTCTTTCGATAATTTCTTTGTTTTTCCCATGGCGTTGTCAGTCTGTTATTAGTTTAAGAGTTTGAATGTTCCTTTGGTATCTTCTGTGTCTCTATCAATCAGTGGAAATATCAATACTTAAACGGTTTTCAGGTTGTATTATCATTTTGACTCATGAACATGACTTTAACTCTTAAACTTTTAAAATTTTCATTTTGTCTATAGTAGAAAAATGTAGTGAATATATAATCATTACAAGTCTATCCTAAATTGAGATAATTGTATGGCTTTCCAAATACCGTTTCGATTCCTAACATCACTGAAGAGACATTAATTGTCGAAATCCGGATATGGTGTACAAAAACCTTTGCACCTTTTGTTTGTGGTATACCATCTTTTCCGCAAGTTTATTGTTTTCTGTTTAGTAGTAAATTTATAATTAAGATCCATTTATTACATCAGTGATCTGTTTATTTGGCAATCGCCAATGGCAGTCAGCAGGGTTTAAGAACATTTGTTGTTCGACCTGTTAGTCAAATGCGTTGTGTTAAAATATACTTTTTCACTTTTTTGGTCTTTTGGAAAATGTTGTTTGTGCTGTATTTAGATCCCTCTAACAAGAAATTTGTTTTGCATGCACACGTATAAAAATTGCGGTTTTTATCCAACGCAATCATAGGTTTGAACGTTGTTTTCTATTTAGACTTGTTTATAATCGTTACAAGTATATATAAAAAATGGGATCTTCCCTTATATTTATAAATATATATCTAGAAAGTAAGTAAATCCTAAAAATAAATCTCTGCTAAGTCAGCTAGATAGAACTAAATGCAAAAAAAGTATCTGCTAAAATTAGTTGGTTTACAGTATAATTTTATTTTTCAGTATCCTTTGCTGCTACAGCTATATTTAGCTATTGGTGGATTCTCCCTGCAGCTATTTTTGGATTTCTGTGGTGGTCAGGAAATCAGATTGGATATACATTCCTAGAAATCTTATGCGTTTATGGTTACTCACTTGCAATATTTATTCCTATATCAGTAAGTCAACTTGTTATCATTCAGAACTGTTACTGAACATTAAACACAAATACATCATTTTATTGTGACATACATTTTGAGTAAACAGAAATATGACCCTTTGAAAGTTTATGAAATTTGTTATGTCATATTGAACATTTTAACCTCACTTGTCCCAAAGGATGATTGCCATCACTTGGTGTCTGTCAATCATTTTTATATCTGTCAACTTTTCAGTTTTAATCATCTCCTCACATTGAATTAAACTTAGCATGAATAATGTGTGTAATGTCCTTTCAATTCTTTCTGTTATAATGCATTGTATTTTGTCAGTTTTAATATTTCTCCTTAACTACGTGGGTATGATGATAGGGTTGTTGATATGTGCCATAAGGTAGTTAAGAATCAAAACTGCTTTTCCTTCAGGTTGACACACTCTTGACTGATTAAAGACAAGTAGAAAATGTAGGAGGCATTGTGTCTTAGGAAAAGATCATTATTTTTTACTGAATAAATATTTAATTGTCCATAAATTTTATTCCTGCACATTATTTATGAATAGGATTTTAAATTCTTGGACAAAAATTAGTTTTAAATTTTGATAGAATGACTTATAATAAAAAATATGTGAAAGACTTCAATAAGAAAAGGATATTTATAAAGTTTACATAGACCATGTTGTGTGATTGCTGTCCCATTGATGCTTTTATAAAAATCAAAGAGAACGATTGGGAATAAAAAAGCCAAACTTTAAAAATGATAAGCATTTTGATACATTGTCAGAAAATAATAAAATTATTTGTAAGAGCTTTAGAAACAATAGAAAAGCTTAATGAGCCTGATTTTCCTCCTGTTTCTTAAGCTTGTACAAATAAATTTCATATTTTCCTACAAAGTACATTATTTTGTACATTTATTTTGTAGATATCATGGGTGCTTCAGTTTAACTGGTATATTTTTTAAGATATTAAGGGTGCTACAGTTTAATAGATTTATTTTGTAGATATTATGGATGGTACAGTTTGACTTATTCCAGTGCTTTTTGGTTATCCTAGAAACTGTATTATCGGGAGGGCTACTAGTATTTGTAGATATTATGGGTGATACAGTTTGCCTTTGTTAGTCTTGTATGTTTTTTAATTTTAGTTCATTTATATGTTTTGGAGTTTAGTGTGACGTCCATTTTCACTGAACTAGTACACAATTTTATTTAGGGGCCAGCTGAGGACCACCTCCCGGTGCGGGATTTTCTCGCTGCATTGAAGACCCATTGGTGGCCTTTGGCTGTTGTCTGCTCTTTGGTCGGTTTGTTGTCTCTCTGACATATTCCCCATTTCCATTCTCAATTTTAGTTGGTTTATTTTGTAGATTTTATGGCTAAAACAGTCTACTGTTTTATTTTGTAGATATTATGGGTTGTACAGTTTAACTGGTTCCAGTGGTTGTTAGTTATACTAGGAACTGTTTTATCAGGAGGAGTATTAGTATTCATATTTTTACCTGCTGTTAGAGAATCTACAAAGAAGTATACCTGGGCTTTGATTGTGATCATATTTTTACTTCATGCTTCGTTAGCTGTAGGATTTAAGGTAAACCTTGTAATATGATACAGTTTTTCTCACATTTTCATTGCTGATTTTTTTTTTAATTTAAAAATAACTCTACTAAAATCAATCATTTTAATGATTTGTTCATATTAATTACAATGGTGGTGGGAAAATCCAGTAAATCTGTTCATTTGATTTTATGCCAACAAAATTTCCAGAAACATCGGACTTGACTGTATTCCAAATGTTACTGTATGAAGTATCCAGCATGACTTGTGCCAATATATCAGATGTGTGATGACCCTATGGCACTTTTAATTTTCTTAATCGCCATTCATATTTTAAAATCATTTAATTTAATATCATCTAATCCTGACAACGTCATAGACTTTTCTATTCAAATAACTTATAGATATCAGATCCCTTTTTTGTACCTAAGGTTGGACATAGCAATCCTAGTAACTGTCTTCATGTTGCACCATGGTAAACATTTAGGTTTAGTCTGTGTTTTTTATGTCCCCGCCGTAGTGGAGGGGGCATTTAGTTTTACCCTTTTCTGTCTGTACGTCCATACGTCCCGTACAGATCAAGGTTGAATTTTGGTGGCGTCACTTTTACCATTCTAGAGTTATGCCCCTTTGTAAATGGAAAAATTTCTGAATTGTTTGTTTCCGCTCTCTAACTTTAGTTTGCCTCAGCCAAATGTTATGAAACTTATTCACAATGCTTATTACCACAAAACACAGATCAAGTTTGAATTTTGGTGACGTCACTTTTACTGTTCTAGTGTTATGCCCCTTTACAAATGGAAAAATTGCTGTATTTTTCGTTTCCGTTTTCTCACTTAAGTTTGCCTCTACCAAATGGTATGAAACTCATACACAATGCTTATTACCATAAAACTCAGATCAAGTATGATTTTGGATAGTGTCACTTTTACCATCCTTGAGTTATGTCCTGTCATCATCTGTGTTACATGGACACATTCCCAATTTATTTTATTTTTTATCTCAATAACTTTGTCAAACCTTTATACAATTTTACAAAACTTAGAGAGAATCTTCGGAGCTTCTTAATGGTTAAGAGACATCATTAAGATAACAAAAATTTCTGGTATTTTACTGATAAATAGATTTATTTTTTTTGGCAGATAAGTTTGGGGTAACATCTGAAGCAAAATTTGGAAAATATATTTTTTTTTATGGACTTTTTGGCAATTAACATTTTTTTACAGAAAGGGCATAAATTTTTAAAGCAATATTAACCTTTTTCAAACCCTATTGAATTTAAGGTAACTTTTATAGAAGCTTCTGCATAATCAAGAGATAGCATCCAGAAAAATGTAGTTTTTTTTTTCTTCTCCATTTCCTGTATTATACTAATTAATGGACATATTTTTTGTACAACTTTAAAAACATGGTCAAACCATCATGGAATAAAACCTGTACAAAGCTTCTTCATAATCAAGAGAAAGCACTTATATCAAAATTTTGAATTTTTTTCTCAAAATCATTTTTCAGTATTTTATTGATAAATGGACTCAGTGTTTTAGGAGTAACCATTTATACATTTACACTGACAGCAGCAGTCACAGACAAGAAACAGGTTCAGAGGAACCTTTTACTTAATTTTTATTGTCTTGCCTGTGACGAAAGTCGCAGAATGCGAGACATAGGGATTACAATACAGTGGCAGGGTAAACTATTTGTATAAAGCTTTATATTTCAGGAGATAGAAGACCTGGATGCTTCATAACTTGTATGCAGATACCTTATATTACAAAGATTCCGTCTGTCAAATGTCCATTGTCCTTGACCTGATTTTCATGATTAAGTGACTGGTTGATAAAAAATTACATTTTTTTTGTCAAGTGAAATACTCACTTATTATGAGTAATAGGAACACTATGTTTGGTATAATGGTTCCTTGCAAAGTCTACATGTCTGTCAGACAAGGTTCACCTGACCTCGACCTCATTTCATGGATCAGTGAAAGTTACACGGTCAAGTCCATATCTCAGATACTATAAGCAATAGGTCAACTTTATTTGGTGTATGGAATGATTGTAAGGTGTACATGTCCGGCTGGCAGGTTTCATCGATCTGACCTTGACCTCAATTTCATAGATCAGTGATCAAGGTTAAAGTTACATTGTCAAATTCGTATCTCAGATACTATATCCAATATGTCATCTATATTTGCTGTATGGAATGATTGTAAGGTGTACATGTCTGTCTGGCAGGGTTCATTTTACCTTGACCTCATTTTCATGGTTCATTGGTCAATGTTAAGATTTGTGGTTTTATCTGTTTCTCAGGTACTTTAAGTAATAGCACCTCATTTTCATAGAACATTGATAATGTTAAGTTTATGTGATACTTGTAGTAAAACCTTCATATTACAGACTTTCAACATAAATTCAATCATAAGTAAAGCAGGCAAGACATTTCAGCGTGTGCACTCTTATTTTTAGCTCACCTGGCCCAAAGGGCCAAGTGAGCTTTTCTCATCACTTGGCGTCCGTCGTCCGTTGTCCGTCGTCGTTAACTTTTTACATTTTGAACTTCTTCTAGAGAACCACTGAATGGAATGAAACCAAACATGGCATGAATGTTCCTTATGAGGTGCTGACCAAGTGTTGTTTCTTAATACGTACAAATGTCTTCTTTTAGAGAACCAGTGAATGGAATGAAACCAAACATGGCATGAATGTTCCTTATGAGGTGCTAACCAAGTGTTGTTACTTTGCAGTCTGTCCATCATCCAAGATGGCCGCCAGCGGAGGACTTAGTTTAACAAAGGACCCAATGGGACATACATACAAATGTCTTCTTTTAGAGAACCACTGAATAGAAGGAAACAAAACACGGCATGAATGTTCCTTATGAGGTGCTGACCAAGTGTTGTTACTTTGCAGTCAGTCCATCATCCAAGATGGCCACCAGCGGGGGACTTAGTTTAACATAGGACCCTATGGGAAATACATACAAATGTCTTCTTTTAGAGAACCACTGAATGGAATGGAACCAAACATGGCATGAATGTTCCTTATGACGTGTTGACCAAGTGTAGTTATTTTTCAGTCCATCCATCATCCAAGATGGCCGCTAGCGGGGGACTTAGTTTAACATAGGACCTTATGGGAAATACATACAAATGTCTTCTTTTAGAGAACCACTGAATTGAATGAAACCAAACAACATGGCATGAATGTTCCTTATGAGGTGCTGACCGAGTGTTGTTACTTTGCAGTCAGTCCATCATCCAAGATGGCTGCCAGGGGGGGGGGCTTAGTTTAACATAGGACCCTATGGGAAATACATACAAATGTCTTCTTTTAGAGTACCACTGAATGGAATGAAACCAAACTTGGCATGAAAGTTCCTTATGAGGTGCTGACCAAGTTTTGCTACTTTGTTGCCGATTTACTGTTCAAGATGGCCACCAGGATATTTTATTAAATAACGGGACCAATATTAAACCAAATTTGCACTCAATCATTATTTGGGTATCTGTTATGATTTTAATCTATCTTTACATGATTTCTAAAACCAAAGTAGAGTCAGGTGAGCGACACAGGCTCTTGAGAGCCTCTAGTTTAAATGGTGCACAAATCTTTTGTTGACTAACATGATGCAAATTTGCATTGATAGAAACTATTGATAAGATAAAGTTTTGTAAACAAACTTTTTTCATGAATACATTTTTTTTTTGCATTTAGCTCTTTCTTGGTGATCTCAGGTGTTTTATTTTAGAGATTTTCTATCTTTGGTAATACATGTATATCATTATAAGAGAAGATCCAAGTTTGACATATTGATGGCAATATATGTTTGTTATTTTTTCTTGTTCAAGTTTCCTAAATAAATTTGTGAGAAAAGTTATCAATTTGCAGTATTTGTTACATTGCTATGTAAAGAATTAATTAAATATATATTTTAATATTCATTTCAGTTGTACTTTTTCCACATTCCTCAGCAAACAAGTGCGGAATTGGTACCTAATACAACAACTCCACAAAATATGAAGATCCACCCAACAACTTTAACACAGAAACCACTTGCAAATGAAATTAATTCTCCAATAAGTAAAGATCCAGACAATGTACTAGAAAAGAAGCAAGGTGGTGGGAACAAGTTAAAAGATGCCATCAAGGGAACAGAAGCTAAGAACAGAAATCTTGAAGTAATCAAGCCTACTCCCCAAAAGAGTAGAACAAGTAACACAAAGGCGAAAAGTGTACCACCAGTAAAACGATCTTCATCAAATAATGGATAACTTAATTTATTCTATGTTTATCTAAGTTTAGGGGACATGTAAAATGATCAACAAATAATCATGTGACTGTACATACAGCTGTATATGCCATTGGTATGAACCACTTAGAATTGATCATAAGAAATCCATAGAATTTCTGCATGAAAAAAAGTAAATGCTGTTTGTATTTGTAACAATGTCCTACTCTAGACATTCCAAGAAAAGAACTTCTATTTATTATAGTAATGTTACATGATGTTAGTACATGTATACTCCTTTCTAAAGGACAATTGTATTCCCTACCAAGAGGAAGTAGTTTACTATTTTTTACCCCTTTCTCCCTTAATTTCTCAATCACTCTTTTCTGTTGTATTTTTGGCAACTGCAAATAAGGGCTTGTTGATATCTTACTTACAGTTTACCAGGTACTCAATATCTGTGTCTATTTAACTTTCTGTTTGATGAATACTTATAGAATAACTAATCGAAGAATTCAAATAGAGAAAAATATTCAACGAGTGACCGAACAACACATTAATTCACGAATGCGCGTAGTGCATGAGTTAATTATCAGTGTTGTTCGGTCTCGAGTTGAATATTTTTCGATATTTGAATTCTTTGATTAGTTATTCTTTTTATTACATTGGCAAATGGCTTTTTTTAAATGAAATTAATGTAGAAAATGTAAGGAACTATATCTTTTTTCTACGCATTCACAATTTGTTTTGATCCGACGTTATCGACGTCTTGACAACGCCTATTGTTGTATGACGTCAGAGAGTGAAATAACCACATTTATTTCACATGTGAAATTATCGGTTTTTATTTGACTGGGAAATCAATGTAATTCATTGCTACCAATGTAATAAAACTGTGTTATTCATATGTAACCTTCTATTTGATGAATACAAATGTATTATTTATATGTAACTTTCTGTTTTGATGAATACAAGTGTATTATTTATTTGTAACCTTCTGTTTGATGAATACAACTGTTATTCATATGTAAGCTTCTGTTTGATGAATACAAGTGTATTATCTACAGTCGAACCTCCTTACGTCAAAGCCAAAGGGACCAGACAAAAGTATTGGACTTATCCGAGGTTCAACTCATCCGAGGTTGAGTGTGTAGTCATGAATTTGGAATGCATGAAATATGGTATGAGATTATTGATATGTAACTTTCTGTTTGATGAATACAAGTGCATTATTCATATGTAACTTTCTGTTTGATGAATACAAGTGTATTATTTATATGTAACCTTCTGTTTGATGAATACAAGTGTATATTTATATGTAACCTTCTGTTTGATGAATACAAGTGTATTATTCATATGTAACCTTCTGTTTGATGAATACAAGTGTATTATTTATATGTAACTTTCTGTTTGATGAATACAAGTGTATTACTTATATGAAATAGACAAACATGAAATTTTCGAGATATTTGAAACCCAGTATCAAGTTGAATTCAACTTTATTTAACAATACTTTATGATGCATTTTTAGGTCCATGTTAGTTTTATTTGTTTTTACTGAAGACCTACATATGTCCAAAATATACCTCTATGTGTTGTGTACATACATGTAATTAAAGAAGAAAGAACATTTTGGGGTTAAATTGACCACAAAGTTAAAAGTACATGTAGTTGAAATTTTGTTTAAATGACAAAATTTAATTTTAAATCTGTATATTTAATAAAACATTTTTACACAAAAATTATTTTGGGCATCACATGAGCTTCAACTATCTAAATTTGTCTAAATGTTCCTAATATGTGCCAATTGTGGTAAAAATCTGATAAATGGTCAGATATGCCTCAAAATATATGTTCCCCTTTCATCATATTTTTTCAGCACCAGTAGAGATTTTTGAGATATTGTACAAATAGTTAGCGTTGTAATTCCTTTTTTTTTGTTTTTGCCATACTTGTGTATTTCTTTGGTTGCAGAATTTGCAGTGCACCTGCATATTTTAGTCATGAAATGTTACTTTCAGATAACAAGTAGTTACAGTGATCACTAACTAGCCTCTTAACACTGAGGTTGTGAGATCGAATTCCACTCAAGCCCAAAAGGTTGGTGGTTTTAATGAATCACCTTGCTGTGAATATGTAGTTAAGTTTGATCAAGTATATGTATACTGACAAGTATTGCACAGCATTTACCACAAATGTATTTAAAATCCTCGTTGTTTTAAAAAAATTTAGTGATTTAAGATATTATTCTATATTGTTTTTTTAATTCCATTGTTCACATTTAATCTGTGGGAAAACAATAAAATACTGTACAATATATGTTTTTATATATGACCTGTCCTAAGAATAAGCTAGTCTCAATGAATCTGAAGACCACTATTTTAGTACCTTCTGTGTCCATGTTCATAGCACATAAAATTATTGACATAAGGACATATAATTTGGTTAACAATTACTTTTTTGTATAGTCTGACCTCATGCAGGAAGATTATGTCTACTGTGGATTCATAATTATTCGTGGGATACCAATTTTTCGTGGTTACAGGGAAACCTCGAATTTAAATGTTCAACGAATTACAAATTTTCTATACGGATGTATGCAGACTGTAGAAAAACCACAAAATTAAATTTCCATGAAAATGCAAGTTTTCCTTAAACCACAAAAATTGGTACCCACGAAAATAAATGAATTATGGCTATATGACCAATATTTCAGTTTTTGCTGCATTGGAGAGGAATGAGGAATTTTTGGGAGCATATGATTGCCTCTTTGTTTATCTTTCTATATTTGTCTTTCTTTCTGATTAAATAGTTTCCAGATGATTATTTAAAAGTTTATTTTTTACTAGGACCCTACAATACTATTACCATGGAATGCAGGGGAAGTTATATCTTCACTGTTGCTGCAAAAAACAATTCTAAAGGAAAAAATCAGCAGAAGAATTAATACACAATATCCTACCAATTGTGTCAATGGTTTCTTTTTGTCCTGGTTGGAGGATTTCAAAAGTTTACCCTCGGTTGAGGTATATGCTGATTTTTTTTATTCATTAATCTTGAGAACTTCTGTGATGTGTACTACTTTTTTTTCTTTCAGTCAGTTAGTTTATCAAAATTGTTATGCAATTTGCCCTATACATATGTTACTACCTGCCAAGTTCCAAAATACATCTTGATGTGCACTGTGGTTGTCTAAATATTGTTTTTATGGCAGTATTTGTTAGATTTCTTTGCCTGTGATTGATATCTAGCAGAGAATTTCCCTCAAAATAGTGATGGGGACTTGAGCTTCCAATGAAGTGTGAAAAGGTGGGGAAACCTAAGGGAAAATCAAAAACCACAAGTAAAAATAAAAACGGGCAACATTATGACCGAAAGAAAAACCATGAAAAGACAAATTACGCTTAACAGATAACTAAAGATTGAGCAAACTTCACCAAAAACCAGAAGTGAACTCAGATGCTCCTGAAGGGTAAGCAATTCCTACTCCAGGAATGAAACTGTCATGGAAGTAAAAATTTGGTGATATATCAAATTCATATTCAGTGATGTCACAATCAAGCAAAAGGACAAGTTGAATGGGTGGTCATCTGTGACATAGATATTCAATAATATTTAATCAAATCATGCTGGCGCCTGTAAAACTTTAGAATTCGACTTTACCATAAGAAAAATTTACAAACAGCAATTATTCGATCAAAGAAATAATGATACCAAACGATAGCTCTTATAAACTTGGAGATATATATTCCATATGCAGGTGCTGTTGGAATGTTGCTACACAGAAATGCAAAGTTCACAATGGGAAAATTGAAATCATCATTGTCGTAAAGTTTAATTTGAAACTGACCATCATAGTCGATTTCTAGATATAAAATAAGATATGAAGCAGACTTTTAAATCAGATATTTAATCGGGCTGTTTGTTTATTCGTTTGAGTTGTTTCACATTTTGTAATGACAGGGCCTTTTATAGCTGTCTATAAGGTACAGGTTTTTCTCATTGTTGAAAGCTGTACAGTGACCAACAGTTGCTTAAATTCATGTCATTTGGACTTTGTTGGATAGTTTATATCTCAGTGGCAATCATACCACATCTCCCTATTTTATATTAATTGTATCTGTGGTATCCTTTATTTCAAGTTGAATGGAATAGATGCCAACACCATAGTCACCAAACTTTGAATAATTCAGTTAGGGGACATCATCCATATAAAGCAAGGTGCAGTTAAAGAATAATAAAGATTTTCATTTTTCTTAAGAGGCTCCTGTGTGATATCTGCTTCACATAAAACAGGAAGAAATCAGCAAGAAGAGAAGCACAGTTGGTTTCAAAATAATGCCTATTGAAAAAAAAGTGTCCATCAAATACAAATATGTTGTCCATTAAAAAAAATCAAGCATCTATTTGATGCAAGTATTAGATAATTTTTTGTTAGAATCAGCATGCTTCTTTTTAATATAATATTTCCCATCCTTTTTCAAAATATCTGTATCTACGTTGGCCATCATTTAATAAATTTGGTCAAATCTTCTATCTATGTTCTGCAATGCACAAATTGGCACAATCAACATCTGGCAAAGAAATTTCTTCCAACTGGTGCTTGGAGCTGTTTTGAACTTCAATAAGGATTAGGGTTTGTTGCATGTTGAAGGCCTGTCTGTGACAGTAAAAACTAGAGGCTCTCAAGAGCCTGTGTCGCTCACCTGTATTTACTGATGCTTTGGAAATCATGTAAAATAAGTTAAAATCATAATTAATAGTATTAGATATTAGATATTATAATGATATCTAAGATAATAACAAATTTTTTGTAAAATTACTAACTCAGGGGCAGCAACCCAACAATGGGTTGTCGGATTCGTCTACAAATTTTCAGGGCAGATAAATCTAAATCTGATGAACATTTTTGCCACCTGTCAGATTTGCTCTAAATGCTTTAGTTTCAGAGATATAAACCAAAAACTGCATTTTACCCCTATGTTCTATTTTTAACCAAGTCAGCCATGATGGTTGGAAGGCGGGGTCATTGGACAATATTTTTAAACTAGATACCCTAATAATGATTATGGCCAAGTATGGTTAAATTTGTCTCAGTAGTTTCAGAGAAGAAGATTTTTGTAAAAGATTACAAAAATTTACAAAAAAAATGTTAAAAATTGACTATTAAGGGCAATAACTCCTACAGGGGTCGACTGACAATTTTGGTCAAGACAACTTATTTGTAGATCTTACTTTGCTGAACATTATTGCTGTTTACAGTTTATCTCTATCTATAATAATATTCAAGATAATAACCAAAAACTTCAAAATTTCCTTAAAATTACCAATTCAGGGGCAGCAACCCAACAACAGGTTGTCAGATTTGTCTGAAAATTTCAGGGCAGATAGATCTTGACCTGACTAGTTTTACCCTATGTCAGATTTGCTCTAAATGCTTTGGTTTCAGAGATATAAGCCAAAATCTACATTTTACCCCTATGTTCTATTTTTAGCCATGGCGGCCATCTTGGTGGGTTGGCGGGGTAATCGGACACATTTTTTAAACTAGATACCCTAATGATGATTGTGGCCAAGTTTGGTTAAATTTGGCCCAGTGGTTTCAGAGGAGAAGATTTTTGTAAAGCTAACGACGACGGACAACGATGACGACGACGACGGACGAAGGACGCCAAGTGATGAGAAAAGCTCACTTGGCCCTTCGGCCAGGTGAGCTAAAAAGCAATGTTTCCATTGCATTTATTCTGTCAAGTGTGAGAAGGGATTTGTGTAATGAATTTACACACCATGTCCTTTCTTTTCCATTTAAAAAATGAAATCGACAATTATAATATATGTATTTATTTCATTGCAGTTAAAAAATTGTATACATTTTTTATGATTCTTTTCATTTTAGTAACTCTCACATTTCCATCTTCATCTATTTCACTAAAAAGTCTATGAAGACCATCAAAATCATCACAAGATATAGCTAAATTTAGATGTCCTAATTTCAGCCCACTCTCAGCTGCTCGCTCACATAAAGACTTTGACATTACTGGTTCATCAGACATATATACAGGTTTGAAGGTATTAAGTCGAGCCTTTTTATGTCTAAATTCTATCAGATAATTATGAACATACTTTACAGTAAAACTGTGATTTATGATATCTTGAAGACTGACTTTTGAGTTTTTCATCAATTGGTTCAAGAGTTGTACATCATCCACTGCATTATGAGCATTATAACTTCTATTTAAAATATCCTTTACCAGATTTTCTTGTTTATAAGACTTCCTATCAGGATATTTTTGTCTAAATATGTGAAGTGTGTCTGAAAAACCAAAAACTTTGCACTGTAATTCATTCACGAGATTAACTGAGCTCAGTTGTGATACAATAATTTTAGAGTCAAAAATTTTACTGTTATGAGCAACTAGGACTACCTTATGTGGAAGCCATTTTATGAATTTTTTTAGACCCCCAGATTTTGACAAAGTATTTACTTTTTGTCCTTTATAAAAAAGAGAGCAGCCATCACTATATAAGCCTGTAACTTCTGAAGCTTTAGGATTAATAGGTTTGGTTGGTAATATATATTCCTGGAATGTCTGGACCTCCATTTCTACAATTTGTGATGTTATCTGAACAACTTCTGCTGATATTTGAACAATTTCTGCATCATAACCTGAAATAGAAATATTTCATTGATTGCTTAATTCAATAAAGAAATGCCATTTTTTTTAACGAAAAAATTTAAATTAAATACCTAAATCTATCGTAACCCATCAAAATAATATTCAGGTAAATACTTATTTTAAACCCTTCCACTTTCATTTTTTACTTCTTGATAGAGGATGTGTTCAGTTGCATGCATACTGATCCTTTCAAAATATTAATTAAGAGATTAACACCTTTTTTAGTAAACTAACTATTCAATTTTCATGTACTGGTAAATTCATTATTCTTCACACAGAGAAAGAACAAAAACACATTGGTATTTTTTGGTGACATCAATCACATCAACTATCAAGGTGTTGCAGGTATTTTGGCGACATCAATCACAACAACTATCAAGGTGTTGGTGGTATTTTGGTGACATCAATCACAACAACTATCAAGGTGTTGGTGGTATTTTGGCGACATCAATCACAACAACTATCAAGGTGTTGGTGGTATTTTTGCGACATCAATCACAACAACTATCAAGGTGTTGGTGGTATTTTGGTGACATCAATCACAACAACTATCAAGGTGTTGGTGGTATTTTGGCGACATCAATCACAACAACTATCAAGGTGTTGGTGGTATTTTGGCGACATCAATCACAACAACTATCAAGGTGTTGGTGGTATTTTGGTGACATCAATCACAACTATCAAGGTGTTGGTGGTATTTTGATGGTTTCTGTTCTGTGAGCTCTAAGTTTTATTTTGTCTATAACATCTAATATAAATCTTTTTTTGCAAATCTCTGTAAGGGGACAACCTACTGATTGAGAGGGTGTGCATGAGGAGTTTTGAAATACATATTCTGGCCTGAGGCTAAAAAAATGCAGGAAATAATTGCATATAAAGCCAAAAACAAATTTTGGAGCTGCAACAAATTAATAACCCAGCCTTAGTTTGGTCTAAAAACAGGTGAAAATGAACATTCTATCCATGAATAATCCTCCTGCACTCACTACAACATCAAATGATTGTTCCCTAATACAACTTAAACACTTTGCTGTAATTATTAATTGATCTGTACACTCAGGTCATGTTGATATTAATTGATCTGTACACTCTGGTAAATGTTGATCACCTACCTACTCCATCCATGAACAAAAAGTCTACAGAAACTTATAATAAATTAAGCTTACCAAAACCTGTAGTTTCTAAATCAAATGTCACTACTGAAACATTACAGTCATCAGCATTCAAATCTATTGGTCTAGAAACAAGTGGTTTTCTATATTCAGGAATAAACGTCTCAATTTTTTTGGTAGAAGGCACATGATATGCAAGGTCTTTTTTAATCCCAGCATCACAGTTGACATCTCCTGAAAATCAAATGAAAAAATATTTATAAATTACAGCATGCCCTTTAATAATAATATGCAACAATGTGTACAAGCTTTTGGGATTACTAAATGGATTTTTTTCTTTCAAAATAGGTAGGTAAGTTCTTTAATGGTTAACATTTTTCATGTCTCTTGCTATGACAAGTGAAACTTAAAAGTAAACAAAAAGGCAAAGATAAATAAAATCAAGCCGTATCACATAATTTTAATACTAATCTTATAAAATAGCTGTTGATAAAAAAAATTTAAACAGGCAAAAAAAAACCCCACAAAATAGGTAGAGACAGCTTCGTGATATACACATTTGTGTCTTAAATACACAAGTGAATGATTGCCATAAATTAAAAACCAAAGGACAAGGATGTGAACAATTATAGGTCATTGTATAGCCTTCAACAATGAGCAAATCCCATACCATATAGTTAGCCTTAAATGCCCACTGGCATGAAATAATGCGAAACAATTCAAATGAGAAAAGAAAACGTCCTACATTTTTGAAGAACAATGAACAATAAAATGCTCCGCAGGGCGCAGCTTGATACGACCGCAGAGGTCGAACCCTGAACAGTTGGGGCAAGTATGGACACAACATTCAAGCTTGATACAGCTCTGAATTTGGATTGTGATTAAATATTTGACACAGCATAGGTTTCTGACACAGAATGAATGTGGTCTAAGAACTTAAAAATTTTAAATTGGACATTCACTTATTATGGTCCAATATCCAAAATCTAAATACATGGTTAGATTCAGCATATCAAAGAACCCCAAGAATTCAATTTTTGATGAAATCAAACAAAGTTTAATTTTGGACCCTTTTGACCTCAATGTGGACAAAGTTGATAACGGGGCCCAAAAATCAAAAATCTAAATACATGGTTAGATTCAGCATATCAAAGAACCCCATATATTCAATTTTTGTTGAAATCAAACAAAGTTTAATTTTGGACCCTGATTTGGACCAACTTGAAAACTGGGCCCATAATCAAAAATCTAAATACATGTTTAGATTCAGCATATCAAAGAACCCTAAAAATTCAATTTTTGTTAAAATCAAACTAAGTTTAATTTTGGACCCTTTGGACCTTAATGTAGACCAATTTGAAAACGGAACCAAAAATTAAGAATCTAAATACACGGTTAGATTCAGCATATCAAAGAACCCCAATAATTCGATTTTTGATGAAATCAAACAAAGTTAAATTTTGGACCCTTTGGACCTCAATGTGGACCAATTTAAAAACGGGGCCCAAAATCCAAAAACTTAATACACGGTTATATTCAGCATATTAAAGAACCCCAAGAATTCAAGAATAAAACCCCATTAAAATTGATCAAGAAATAAGCAATTTATAGGAAGTATCTTCTTTTGCACAATACTGTGCAATTGAATATTTCTTGCTATTGTGCAATACTGTACAATTGACAATTTCTTGCTATTGCGCAATATTGTGCTATTGGATATTTCTTGCTATTGCGCAATACTGTGCAATTGAAGATTTCTTGCTATTGCGCAATACTGTGCAATTGAAGATTTCTTGCTATTGTGCAATACTGTGCAATTGAAAATTTCTTGCTATTGCACAATACTTATTATATAATAATTTACACATCCTGTTTGGTGTGTATCTCCTACCATATCATTATTATTTGCTTTTAAATATTAATCAGAAATAACCAACTTAAAATGGAAAATTTTAAAAGAAAAAAAAAAGGAAAAAAAGAAAAAAAAAGAAAAAAAAAAAATCCCCCCCCAAATTTTTTGAACCCCCTTATGATTCATCACCCCCAAACTCAATCCCAGCCTTCCCTTTGTGGTATGGTACCTTGCAGTACAATTTCAGAGAGATCCATACACTTGAACACGTTATTGTCTGGAAACTAGAAAAATGCTTATTTTTGGCCCCTTTTTGGCCCCCAATTCCTAAACGTTTCGGGCAATTACCCCCAAACTCAATTCCAGCTTTCCCTTTGTGATATGGAACCTTGTAGTACTTTTTCAGAAATATCCAAACACTTACACACAAGCTATTGTTATGAAACTAGAAAAATGCTTGTTTTTTGCCCCTTTTTTGGCCCCTAATTCCTAAAATTTTGAGGCAATTACCCCCAAAATCAATTACAGCCTTCCCTTTGTGATATGGAACCTTGTGGTACAATGTCAGAGAGATCCATACACTTACACACAAGTTATTGTCTGGAAGTTACAAAAATGCTTATTTTTGGCCCCTTTTCGGCCCCTAATTCCTTAACTGTTGGTACCATAACCCCCAAAATCAATCCCAACCTTCCTTTCGTGGTATTGAACCTTATGGTAAAATTTCATGGAGATCCATTCACTTAAACTAAAGTTAGAGTGCGAAAACCAATGTGTCTTCGGAAGACGCCAGACGACGCCAGACGACGACGACGACGACGCCAACGTCATACCAATATACGACCAAAAAATTTTTAATTTTTGCGGTCGTATAAAAAACAACTAAGGTCTCTAAAGTTTATGATGTTTTCCATAGATATTTACCTTTGGAAACATTGTACGGAGCCGAAAAAACAACAAAATAATTTTAAGAGAAACTTTATTATAACTATTGACATAATTTCACCAAATATAAAGTTGTTTCTTGGGTGCGCACTTACTTTTCCAATCCAATATATTTTTAAAAGTTGATGTAAAACAAGGAAAATCAAGAATTTTTACAAAATATACAAATTTCGTCATGGTGTGTTGCCATGGCAACTCATTAAATGTGATATTTGTTTTCATTTTCAGAAAATCTTGTACCATAGTGTAGTTAGAACAAAATTTAAGAATATGTATGGTAACTTTTCAATTTACGCTAATATTTGGGCAAAAAAAGGGCCTTATTGCCCCTACTCATTTGTGCTTTGTCTTTACCCATGAAAATTGGTACCAATGAATAATAATAAATCCACAGTACATACCTGATGTACACGCAGATGATAAACGACCATTTTGTTCTGATGAAATTTCAGGTATTCCTAATTTCTGTTTTGATGTTTGGATTTTTGTGAATGTTGAGCGTGGTACTAATGTTGAAGAAGATTCAAATGATGATGATTCCTGAGATCTTTCAAATATAGTTTTTGGTATCAAAGGTATTTCAAATGCTGAAACTGACTTGTGTATTGCTTCATATGAAAGTGATGGTGACTGAGATGTTTTAGATACTTTTACTGAAGCCTCTGATGTTCCAAATTTTGACCTTGATTTCTGTGCTGTTCCAAATATTGCTGTACAAGTGTCTTTTGCTTGTAATGATCTTTCTTTCTCTGGTGACAATATCGGAGATGAATGAGATATTCCAAAAGCTGGTGTGGTTATAGGAGATTCCCTAGAAGTCAAATTTAATGTCTCAGTTGTTCGCAGTTTTGAGGTTTCAGCAGATGCTATATTAGATGTTTCAAAGTTTGATGTTTGTTTTTGCAACATTGTAAACATTGGTGGTGTATTCAACATTTCAGGCTTCACTGTTGTAACCTGAGGCTGTCTAAATGTAGCTAATGATTTCTGGAATGTTCCAGATGTTTGTATTGGTGTTGAAGATGTTTTACATATTGATGATGATGTCTGGATTTTTCCAAATGTCATTCTGTCTGTCTCTGATGTCTTATGTGTTCCAAGTGTTGTGGATGATGTCACCATTGGTGCCAGTATTGATGCTGAGGTGTCTATTGTTCCACATGTTAATGCCACAGAAGTGCTAGTATTTGGTGCTGATGTTCGATGTGTTCCAAATGCTGGTGTTGATAGAAGTGATGTGCTAGTTGTTGGTGCTGATGTCCGATGTGTTCCAAATGCTGGTGTTGATAGCAGTGATGTTTTTGTTGTTGGTGCTGATGTCAGGTCTGTACCAAATGCTGGTGGTAATAGTAGTGATGCACTAGTTGTTGGTGCTGATGTTCGATGTGTTCCAAATGCTGGTGTTGATAGTAGTGATGTGCTAGTTGTTGGTGCTGATGTCAGGTCTGTACCAAATGCTGGTGGTGATAGCGGTGATGTGCTAGTTGTTGGTGCTGATGTTCGATGTGTTCCAAATGCTGGTGTTGATAGCAGTGATGTGCTAGTTGTTGGTGCTGATGTCAGATGTGTACCAAATGCTGGTGTTGATAGCAGTGATGTGCTGGTTGTTGGTGCTGATGTTCGATGTGTTCCAAATGCTGGTGTTGATAGCAGTGATGTGCTAGTTGTTGGTGCTGATGTCAGATGTGTACCAAATGCTGGTATTGATAGCAGTGATGTGCTAGTTGTTGGTGCCAATGTCTGAGGTGTATTAAATGTTGGTATTGATACCATTGAGTTGGCAAACGTTGATGTCTGAGGAGTTCCAAATGTAACTGTTGATACCAGAGATGTGGCAAATGTTGGTATTGATGTCTGAGATGTGGAATATATTGGCAATGTTGACTGAGGTAGTCCAACTGTAAGTGTTGATTTATTAGAGTTTCCGATTAAAACTTTTGATGTTTCTGATATTGTAAAGAATGATGTTGATGCAATTGATTTGCCAAATGAAGTCTGAGATGCTGATGCTGACACCCAAGATGTTGCAAATGAAGGTGTTGATGTTCTAGGTATTGCTGCTGCCATTGTAGAGATTTTCACATTTTGTGTTGAAGTTTCAGATATTTGAGATGTAAGTGCTACTGTCTCAGATGTTCCCAATATTGGTGTCCTTGACAATCTTGGAGAAGAACCAAGATTTCCAAATGTTATGGTATCTCCAAATGTATTTTCCCTAGAGTCGTTGTCAGAACTTTTGACCATGACCTCTGATTTATCCTTGATAACATATTCCTTGGAAATTGTACTTTCATTGATTTCAGATATTATTTCTGTCTCTAAAGGTTTATTAGATTGCAATTCATAGTATGTGCTAAATGGCGAATCATTTGTTTTTGGCAATTCTTTGCTATAAGTATTTTTACAAGACTGGGGTTGATCCATTCTTTCAGATAGTTCTATTAATCTTTTTTCAACTATAAATCCATTATTGTTTAATGTTGATTTTTCTCCAAACTTAGCTGATCTATTGCAATCGCCTGTCAAATTAAATTCACTGCTTGATTTTGAATTACCATTGAGATCTGATGTCATATCAGATTTGGAAATGAAACCTGCAGGTCTTATCTGGCATTCATCTAGAAATAAAGCAGAAGTATAATGATATCACATATCACTGATGTATTACAAAACATAACATGTCAGGACTTGATGCAAAACTTAAAAAATCCATGGAACCCTGTGTCTCACCTGCTATTGCTGCTGTCAGAGCAAATATGTAATGTTGACTGCCAAAAAAATTCCATTTATCCATAAAATACGAAAACAATTAAGAAAAAATTAAACATTTTTTTCTTCAGGTGCTATTTTTTTTATCTTGAAGAAGCTTCTGTCCGAGATTCATAACATTTAATGAAGGTTTGACAAAGATAGTGGCGATGTCTATAAAATTTAATCCTAGACTGTATCTTAATGTTAACTGCAAAAAAAATTAAGTCCCTTTTTCAGTAAAATACAGGAAAATAATAAATAAAAAAAATTGCATCATTTATTGACATTATCTCGTGATCATAGAAAAGCTTCTTTCCAAGTTTCCTATAATTCAATGAAGGTTTTACCAAGTAATTTATGTCTGGAAAATTTAAACCTAGACTGTATCTTCATGTAAACTGCGAAAATAAACTAAGTCATTTATCAGTAAAATATATGGAAAAATGAAATAAATATTTACAAATTTTTGCTGTGGATATTGTCTTTTGATCATTGAAAAGCTTTTGTCCAAGTTTCATACAATTCCATAAGGGTTTAAGAAAGTAATTGTGGTTTAATTTTTATCCGCCCGTTTACGGGACGTATTATGGTATACCGTTGTCCGTCTGTCCGTCCGTCCGTCGTCAACATGTCGGACATTAACTCAAAAATGCTTTAACCAATTTGCATAAAACTTTGATGAATTTTTTCTATCTATTGACGTGAGCTCCCTTTCGTTTTTTTATAAAATTTAGATTTTACGTTTCTGAGTTATGGGGTTTTATTCATTAAAAAAAAAGGGATTTTCCAGTTTTTGGACAATAATTCAAGAATGCTTTCACCAACTTGCAAGAAATTGTGGTGAATTGTTTATATCTATTGACATGAGCTCCCTTTCAGTTTTTATAAAGTTTAGATTTTACGTTTCCGAGTTACAGGGTTTTATTCATGAAAAAAGGGGGGATTTTCCAGTTTTCGGACAAAAACTCAAAAATGCTTTCAGCAATTCTTATGAAACTTTGGTGAATTGTTTGTATGTATTGATGTAAGCTCCCTTTAGAATTTTATAAATTTTACATTTTACATTTCTGAGTTATGGGGTTTTATTCATTAAAAAAGGGGTGATTTTACAGTTTTCTGACAATAACTCAAAAATGCTGTCACCAATTCTCATGAAACTTTGGTGAATTGTTTATATCTATTGATGTAAGCTCCCTTTTTATTTTCATAAATTTCTAATATGATATTGAGAATTAATTGAACTTTATTTGTTTATAGTCTGACAACAGATTTACTAAGTATTGCACAACAGCAAGAAATCTTTAATTGAATATAAATTCAATTCATATAACCAATTTCAAGATCTTTGACTACATTTATTCAGAAACCTATAATATGTCAAATATTTAATTACAATCCAAATTCGGACCTGAATCAAGCTTGAATATTGTGTCCATTTTTGCCCCAACTGTTCAGGGTTGGACCTCTGCGGGTGTATCTAGCTGCGCTCAGCGAAGCAGTTTTTTTTAACCACAGACTGAACCTAAATGTTGACAATGCCGACGATGGAATGCAGGATCGCCATGTCTCACTTCCGCAACAAAATGTCACAAGCTCAACAAAAAGTAACTCTAGTGTGAAAAGTAGGTCATGATGACCTAAATGTCTCTAAGGAATGTGGTACTTTACAATAGGACTGTACCAGTGAACTGTCACTGATATTTTGTCATTGAAATGGACCTCAAAACAAACAGGATGTATGGAGAGACAACAAAATGTTCTCTGCACTAGCCAAATAATGGCAAGGCAAAAAAAATCATCAGTTTACAATAAAACATATTTATACTACCACTTTTTATTATCTAAATAGAAGTATTAAAATTTGTATTCATAGCAAATGAAAAGTAGACAAAGATGATGCCCCACCACTTGCATGAATATAGTTCAGCAAACATTAGTTTGAACAGTGATGTTGAGGTGTCTTTCATGCATATTCAGGACAAGAAAACATTAAACATTAATACTTCAGCTAGGTGCTGCAATTCAGTTCGTCCAGGGTGAAGGTTGGGAAGTTTGCACAGCCACTGGAAAAAAAGGTATACTTGATGGAGACAGAAATTTTGCCTTGCAGCAAATCACCTATGAAGAGTTATTTTAAGGGTTCTTTACCATTCATAGAGCATGGCACTCTCCCTACATCAGGCATCTGATTTAGTGTTCCCATTCTGAGCAGTTGTGTGTCAGTGTAAATATACATCCAGCAGAGCCAAACAGACTATTTAGCATGGATTTTACTGCCAGATGGGAGAAGTCTAGGGATCCATACACAAGTTAACAAGTTTGGGTGATAACATTTAACAAGAGGCTCTCAAGAGCCTGAATCGCTCAACTGATAAACAATACGCCATTTTGATATTTATTTTTTTTCCTTTATTGCAATCAATTTAAAGGCAATAAATCCTATTACTACTGTGACAATTTGGCCATGTTGACTTACAAGCAGATCTTATTTTGTTGATCGTTTTTGACAAAAATGCAAAAAAAAAAAAAGGAATCATCATTCAAGGGAAGTAACTTCTAGATGGTTTTGGCCATGATAACGAATTTGTATATCTTATTGTGCTGAACAGTTTTGGTTTTTTACTGTTTCTCATCTATTTTAGTTTTTGCAAAAGCTGCACAAATAGAAAAATCATCTTTCAAGGGCAATAACTTCTCATAACTGTCAACTCACCCGTATCCTGCGGTTGAGACCTGCGAATTTCACCTCTCACACAGGATTTTAAAATAACCGCCGGGTCGTTAAATAACCTAAGAATTCGGAAAATGACCTGTTTTTCCCGGATTCTTGAGCTTTTAGACTGATTTCATAAGTAATTTTCCTTTGAAATACTGGCAAATTCGTAATTCTTCCTGGACAGGAGGTTCAAATAGCTATGTTAACTGTCAAATTATGTGACCCATTAAGTGCATGGCTTCACTTGACAGCTTTGGTGTCAAACACACTGTTAATTAATGCCAATTACCTTAGCTAAAGTCATAAATAATTTGTGTATTTCAAAGTTGTTTGACAAAAAAATTCAGTTACTCCCCCTTTTTTGTCACCTTTCAGAATATACTCCTTAAATTTATGTTTTTTTGGTAAAAAGATTAAATATAAGGCAAATTGAATGCAAATACAAATATATCCCCTAAATACTTATATTCAGCTGAAAAAAGTTTGTACGCGTTATGACCTGAGATTTTCTTCTTCAATGCAGGTCATGACCTGCATTTTCATTTTCATAGGTTGACAAGTATGACTTTTAAAAGGAGTCAGTTTACAATTTCAGCCATGTTGGCTTTCAATTGTAGATCTTATTGAGCTAAACAATTTCCCTCTATCTAAAATGATTTCTGAAAAAAATGGACAAAATGGAAAAAAAACATCTTTCAATGGCAATGGACAATTTCAGTTAAGTTGACTTATTTGTAGATCTTATTTTGCTGAAAAATTTTGCTGTTTACAATTTCTCTCCATCCATTATAGTTTTTTAAAAAAACACAAAAAATTAGCAAAATTAGTCTTTCGAGGGCAAAAACTCCTATAAGGGGTCAGTTGACAATTTGTCCATGATGACTTATTTGTAGATCTTATTTTGCTGAACACTTTTGCTTTTACAATTTCTCTCCATCTATTATAGTTTCTGCAATAAATGAGTAAAATTACTCTTCCAAGGGCAATAACTCCTTTGAGGGGTCAATTGACCATTTGTCCATGTTGATCAATTTGTAGATCTAATTGTTCTGGTCATTTTTACTGTTTAAAATTTCTCTCCATATTCAAGGTAATAACCAAAAATACACCTTTAAGGCCTGGTGAGCTAAAAGGTGGATCTTTAAAATTATTAGCATGGTTGTGAAGAAACAGTAGCAATTGGTAATGTTGTCAAGCTACAATATTTCAAATATATCCTGTTTGCTTTGCTTATAGCTTATATACCATATGACTTAAAATAGTATTTGCTAAAGTATAATAATCTCCTTTTATTTGTATTCATAATGTATTTATTTGTTACCTTGTGCTTCTAATTCTTTATCAGTACTTGATGACACAACTGATAAATTGTCAATATTACTGTAATGACTCTCTTTCCCTACACTGTGAAATTTATCTTTTCTGGGCTTGTCATATGATGACATATCATCTTCTGTAGAAGTTATGTGGAACTCCTTGTAAACAAAAACATATTTATATGAGACGAAAAAAATAGAAATAATATGCACCAATATTAGAGGTATTCCCGTAACAGTGTGGACAACCATAGTACTTTTGTTTTTAATAGTACTGAATCATTTACCTTTAACTTGTTTGTCATCGGCTATTGATAACAATGGTTTTACGCTCACTCAGTCTGTCAGAGGCCCTCCAGTGGGGATTTAAATAAACACTTGTTATACATTTTGATACATAAAATGAAACTCTTTTCACAAAACTTTAAAGGAATTTGTTTGAAATATTCTTTATATCAGCACACACAACAGTTTCATTTTAGAGAATAATAAATGTTCAGAGCTAATATCATAAAATAATCGAAAAAATACATTTACACATTTGGATTTTCATTGTAAAAACTTTAAGTCGATGGGGTTAATTCTCAAAATATCTTAAGAGAAAAAATAGTTCCACGTTGTGACCATTTAAGAGTAACCGACCATTTATTCAGTGCATAGGATTTGTTTGTGAAAAGAGTTCAGGACGATGAAATTTTTTTTTTTTTTTTAAACTTGATATTTTTCACATGGATCGTCGTTTGAATCATTCAGTCATACAGAGAACTCATATGATTAGTTTTCCTTGGATATTCCTGTACTGCACAACTCAATTGCCTCTATTTTTGTATATATCTATATGTATATCTAATTAATTAAAAGACTTTTCTGTTTGTATATTATGCTTTTATGTAAAGGCGTTGAGAACCTTTGGTGACCCCACGGTTTCAATGTCTATAAAAAATACCACGTGATAAGTGGGCGTTACAGACGAACGCTCACATAATTTAACCCAGACTTGAGCACGCCAAAAAATGGTCTTGTCCACAGTGTTATGAAAACGATACTATTACTTAAATTAGTTTCAAATTAATCTGTAAATATCAAATGGTTAAAATATTTATATACCCTTTCTCAAAACAGTTTTAGTTTTGTTTGATAATTGTTTTTTTTCTTCTCCAGTTTATTTTTTCATTTGGTTTACAGCTGGTAAATAACATACAGCTTTGAAGAAAATTCAAAAATAAAAAAAGAATGTGTCTGTGGTCTCAAATGCCCTTGCTCAAGCTTTGCAATTTTAAAAAGTTAAAAAGGGGCATAACCCTAGAACGATAAATGACTCACAACCCAAATTCGAGCTCTGTCTGCATGTTGTGGTTTTTAGCATTGTGTATGAGTTTCATAGATTTTGGATGAAAAAAATTTAATTTAGAGTACGGAAACGAAAAATTTTGCAATTTTCCAAGTTATAAAGGGGCATAACTCTAGAACAGTAAATGCCTCACCACCCAAATTCGAACTCTGTCTGCTAGTTTTGGTTCTTAGCATTGTGTATGAGGCAAACTTAAGTTAGAGTTTGGAAACGAAAATAGGACTGAGGGAAGGACGGATGGACGGAAAGAAGGACAGAAGGATGGTCCAGGGTAACTCTTAATGCCCCTGTTGGCTACGGCTAGGCAATAACAAGTGTAGTTTTAACTATTCATTACCATGTTGATTTTAATGCTGGTGATGTTTTATATGTATGAAATACAACTATAGTAATGTGTCTGACCAAAGTCAGGAATAAATGCTGTTTTTTTTCTTTTTGAATACTTTGGTTGCTGTCTCATTGTTATATGCACAAAATCTTCTTTCATTCATAAATAAAACTGGGTTTTCTTTGTCCTTTTTAGGTGCCTTTTGATCCTCTTACATTTATTTCTATGAAAGCTCTTAGAAATAAGGTACAATGTAAACAAAAATACACTTACTTCAATATCTGTTTTTAGCTTTTCCAATGTTCCATGCATATTTTTAGCTCCTGAACTGACAAATACACTACTGTTTATTGAGCTGGTTACATATCTGGCTTGCATTTTCTGTCTTGCTGGAATCTATGAAGAACGCAAAATGATTTTTATTGCAACAGATGCATACCTGCATTTCACTTTAGTTTCTTGTTTATCTATACATCTTCCTTCCATTATAAATGATGATACATTTGGCTAGCACATCAATGTTTTCTCTTTTTTTGTTTATCATTACATCCTCTTGATAAATCACTAAAACGTTTTTTTTTCATTACATGTTTTTTGTTACTTCCAAAAAACCTAATCAGTAACAAGAGAAATATACTTTACCTTATGTTGAGAAATGGGACTGCAATTTTCATTCCATCTTCTTTTTTGTGGTGAACTTCTTCCAAATGTTGTACCAGGATAAAATTCATTTTCAATTAATCTTTTGGACAGTATTGCTGCACTCTCCTGTAAATTAATGCTCATTACTTCAAATAATAGAACTACAAAGAATTAATTTATGTCTTATAAAAAGAATTCATTTATGTCTAATAAAAAGAATTCATTCATATATGTCTAATAAAATTTAACCCCATTCTGTATTTAAATGCAATCTGCAAAACTTATCTTAGTCCTTTTATCAGTAAAATATGGAAAAATGAAAAATTATTTTAAAAATTTTGCTCTGGATATTGTCTTTTGATCATAAAAAAAATTCTGTCAGAGTTTCAAAAATTCCACAATGATTTAACAAAATTATTGATGTTTAAAAAATCTTTAACCACAGACTGAAACTAAATGGTATAATCTCTATGTCTCGCTTCCTCTACAAAATGTTGCAGGTTTGACAAAAATAAAATTGACTTACATCTGGTGTCTTCGGAAATAAATTCAGTCCTGAACTGGACTTTTCTGTCAATGATGACTTCCTCAGTCTTTTTGTATTGTACTGTGCTGACCAATTCAGATTTTTTTTATAATCTACAAGGAAACAAAATTTTACTTTGCCAAATTAATGGATTGATTTAAAATTTAAATATAAGCATGAAATACATGTTTTGATGGGTCAGATAGCTCCAAAACAAAAAAACTGAAATGAAGATATTGGTAGAAATTGTCCAAAGTAGATGTGAATGTTATAATGTCTCCTGCAGCTTAATTGTTAAATATACATTTCCTAGTTCTGTAAGTCATTGCAAAGAAGCCTAGATAGTCACAATTTTCATGGAAAATCCAAGAATTGCATAATAAAGTTGATCAACAAGAAAAAAGGGCAAACTTGATAGGTCAGTCAAGTTTTGATACTAATGTACCAAAAAACAGCTCCACATCTGCAGGTGATGATCACAAAAATTACAAAAAGTCCAGACAAGTAGAGTGAATATGTTTTATTAGACAGGTGCTATAGAATACCTGATGATTTATACAGTGAAGTGCTTTACAATACCATGTACATTCTGGTATCATCACCATCTAAAATACAGGTAATTAAGCATTGTGCTGCATTTTAATGTATGAAAAATTATATAAGGCAACCTACATTCAGAGGTCAAAAGTGTTTCATACCTCGAAAATAACGTTATACATGTATATTTCACATAAAAACATAAAAAATTGGACATAAAATAAATTTTTGACAATTTATAAAAAATGTGTTTTAATAGTTTTCTTCAGCGTAATTTTCAGGGTGTGAAACACTTTTGACCTCGGACTGTGGCAAGTGGTACTTCAGTTTTACACACATAAACACATCCAACTACTGACCACGTACACATACATATACATTCTCAAACATATCACTATATATACATAAAATTAGCACCCTCTGAGTGACAGACATATCATGTAGTTAATATTTATGAAATACTTTTGCTACCTGAGTTATGATGAGTATCAGAAGCATTGTTATTCAGTTCTATTAAGGCTTTCTTCTCTTGGATGCTGGTTGGCTGATGTGGGTTCATAGAGGAATATCCACTTGAACACCCAGAATAATCACTTATGTTAGAAAAGTTGTCATCTAAAAATAAAATCATCATAAGGAATTTGCATGACTGGTCTTTCATTAAATGATCTTATATAGTAAAGTAAGGAATTTTACCACCAAAGATTTTTGTGAGTTTATTTATCATAAAAAAAAATGATAGGGTTTTGATTTATTATAAATATGATACTGAAAGTCAATCTTGATTGACATGCATGGATATCATTGCAGGTGTTGACATCAGTCATACATATAAAGAATTACCATACATTGCCTCGAAATATGAATTTTATTTGTACAAGGCTTAGAAACAGGTAGAAAGAGAGGCTGTGCCGAGCATTTCTACCTGTTTTGAGTCGAGTACAAATAAAATTTATATTTCGAGACAATGTATGGTTATTCTTTATATACTGCAACTTCTATAACTTTTCCAAATGAAATATTTAGGGTAAAAACCATCATTGTTTAATTTGGAGCGGACGACGTTAAATTTCCGCAAACCTGTATGTTTTATTGACGTCATAAATAAAACTCTACGGAAACACATTGTCTACGTCATAAACAAGGCGATATACGATCAGTGACTGTATATCACATATGAATATACGGTTAATGCAATTAGACTGCCCAAATAGCACAGCTGCAGTATATAATAGTTTTCGATACATGTTCGACTACAAAAAATGGAAGACCTGGATGCAAGATTGAGAATGGTGTCATCAATTTCAGTACCAATTACTTTCTTGTATTAGCTCTTTCTCCATTACAAAACTTGAAGTTTAGGTGCACTTCCGTATATAAACCAATTGAATTTTCTGTTATAAATGAATTTCATTCAGATAATGGTTTTAATGTCAGGCAAAACTTATTTTCAATAGTTTTAAGGACTTCAGACATATTTTCAACTTTGAAACTTTTCAATTTTTTTCTATTTCTCCCTATAAAGAGTCTTGACTATAAGTTTAATACATATGTTGGTCATATGTTGGTCTACTTCTTTTTTGTGTCAAAGAAATCTAAGAAAAGTGATCTCATTATACCCATCATTAGGCATTTATGTATTGTTTAAGACCTTGTAGTATAAAACTAATGTAACAAGGATAACACAAATACTTATGGTTCCTTGATTTACTGCTTATGGTAATAATGCCTCAGTGGCCTTGTGGTAGCATGATAGCGGGCTTGGTTTTAATCCCCACTGAGTTAAACCAAAGACAGCACACAGCATTTAGGAGTAATGGTCGGCTTGGAATCAAAATAATGTGTCCTTGTATGGTGACATGCCTTTCTGTGAACTGTTGTGAACTAGCACATTAAAAACCTGACTCAGTATGTTAGTCTAGTACAAAGCAGGTGGCATATTCATGTTATATTAACATGCTCTCATCCTGATATGCCTGTAATATTTGCCACTAGACATTAAACATCAGTCCATCATCATCATCAATATCATAATGCTATTACCATTATCTATACGCTCATTAATGTTTTCTGTGTGTAATGGAAGCTGCGATGATGAGAATATACCAGTAGTCTGAACAGGTATTTGATCTTGTTGATGATAAATATCTTCTCTAGATCTGGTGTGAGAAATCAATGTTGACTGTTGAAAACAGGTATCGCTGCATCTGGTGTTATTTTTCTGGTTGCATGGAATAACTAGTGGTCTTTTGACATTCGGTTGTTGTTTATCTCTGTCATTTGTTTGGTTCTATGAAATTAAACAGTAATGTTGTCACAATACAGATTACAGTAGACTCATATATTTTCATGGGTACCAATTTTTGTGGGTTGAGAAAAACTTGATTTCAAGGTTTTGCCAAAGTCTGCATAAAGCCCATACCAAATGTGTGCTTAGTTGAACATTTAAATTCTTGGTTTATCAATACCCACGAAATCCATGAAAATTTGTATCCCAGGAATAACAAGAAATGATTGTAACAGGAAGTCTCCCAAACAAATTCCCATAAGTATAAATCTCTATGGACTCCCCTTATTGAATAAATTGAAAAAAAAGTTCAAGGTCAAAGGTCAAGGTCATAATTGACCATTGACCTTTTGTGACCTTTCAGTAGGCCATATGTTCCCATAGCCATTACTGAAGACCCCATGTGTCAGTTTTATCACTTACTGTTCTCAAGTTATAATCATTTGAAACTTAAAAAAAAATAAATTCCCATAGGGTTCTATAGTAAACCCCTTCTTTACTTTTTTTTTAATTAGGTGCACATATTCACCCATTTGATTACAGAATTTCTATTCCTTCAAATATTAAAGGAGAAATAAGGGAAAAAATATTTTATATTGAGTTATCTGCCTTTGACCATATTGATACACCTGTATAACAGATATATTTTTAAGGGGTTAATGTATGGGGAAGTTAGAGGAAAATTGCTAATAGTTAAAGAGGCAAGTAAGCGGAAATATTAAAGTGACCTAGGATTTTTTAGGTAAAATCCTCATTCATGAAATATTTACACTTTTCTGCCTCACCAGTCAACCTCCCCTGTCAAGGAAATCTTTTGATGTATCCAGAAATTCAAGAATTACTTTAAGGGAGATAACTGGGGGTATTATGGTATTGATTGATTGATTGTTGGTTGCTTAATTAAAAAAACTCTAGGAATGCATGGGGAAGGTAGAGGGAAATTGTGCTAGAAAAATTGAAGTGAACAAGATATATACATATACCAGTATATAAATTTACAAGGTTGGCTGGTTGAACAGATAGTCCATAGAAGGAAACATTATTTGAAAAATAGTATGACTTGGATATATGCAAACTTTGATCCTAATTACAGTTTATAAGTAATTAGTTAAAAAATATTGTTTAAAGGGTTATCCAACAGTTGTTATGTGTTCTAAAAAGAATATTGAAATTTATTTATAAGATGAGAGAAAATCTTATATAAAATATTGGCATTTTAAACATGATATTGAAGGGAGATAATTTTAATTGTATCCATCAGTACAATTATCTGCCTTATATATCAGTCTTGGAAACTATAATCAAATTATAAATAAACAAAATTTACTTGCTAGAGAACATAGCAACAATTTATTGCTAAATACTAATTACATTTCACTAGCAAGGAGCTAATATTTTACCAGTTGATCATTTTGAAGAGATGTTTTCAAACTTGGTAAAACATTAGAGCAATTTGGTATCGTGAAAAGACTAAATCTTTTCAAATGTATGCACATTAGAATTGTTCATTGAAGATTATTATACAATGTTCCTTATAATGTGGTTGCTACTTCATGTTGGTAAAAAAAATCTTTCTTGTTGTAACAATTATCTACATCATGATTATTTATATACAATTGAACATCCCAACACATTACTCTTTAGTCAAGTCAACCAGTCTACGTTGCTCCCTTTCCTAAATGCTATTTGCTTCAATAGAGAAGAAGCAAATATAAATTTTTAAGTCTTTGGTTTAACCCTGCCGGGGATTAAATCCACAACCTCCTGCACTCCCTCAATTAGATAATTGATTATTGTAGATAATTGTTACAATATTATATATACCGGGGTACAATAACAAAAAAAGATATAGCTTTGAAAAAAGCTTACTTGATTTTCTATGTAAATTAAAGCTCATTGAAAATAAATTTTTTACATCGGTATTTCATTTCAAGTCATAGTGATAAGAAAAATATAGTGAGAACTAAAAAGTACATGTTTATGTTTAATACAAGAGAAAAAATGTGTATTAATTTAATAATTAGAACTTCAGAATCTACCAAAGTAAATGCCATGTAATGTATTCATTTTTTGTTGTCGTTTTTTGTTGTGTTTTTGTCGTTGTTTAGTTTAGTTTAGTTTTGTTATGTTTTATTAGTTTGTTTTATTTTATTTTTTTATGTATCTAATTTTTTTTTTGGGGGGGAGGGTTATCATCTGACTGCTTTAGAATTTTATACCTTAAAGTCTTTGCTAGAATCCTGGGTGTTTATTTTTCCTGGTTTTAAAGTGATGTATCTGGACAACCATGATGGTGTTAACAGATCTTTCAGTGATCCGAATACGGACTGAAAAAGAAACAAAATGAAAAGTCAGATATGCAATAGGAAAAAGATGGAAATAACAAATGTATATATAATAGATGACAAAGTATATATTTCACAAAAATCAATCTGTTTATACTGGAAAATCTCTTCAAAGGATATAAGTGAGAACAACTGTGGGTTGACTGTACTAAGTTGGTAGAGTACGTGGGTTGAAATTAGGTTTTACACCATGCCAAACCTTCCACTTGTATGGCAGTCATTAAAGTTAACTATGTATCTGGGAGTCAATGTCTCCAATATAATGTGTCTGTGTATTCCTTCAACATAATGGTGTGTTTTTATACAATATGATGTGTCTTTCAATGTATTCATACAATTATATAATAAGTCTCTATATTCATTCAATATAATGTGTCTGTATGTCTGTATTGTTGAATGATAATGGATCCGCCACTGAATAATATCTTAATATTCTCATTCTGGTTTTGCCTCAGGTGTTCTGGAAGGGTAATTGTTCATGTACATTTTATCAAACAGTATTATATTATCACATAGAAAAAAAAAGATCAAAATTAAATGGCATTTCTTAAACAGTAAATGTCAAAATCATCCAAATCGCACTTGACCTGTATTGTGTGATCTATAGCCATGATGACATTGTGTTCAAATTTCAAAAGATTTGATCGAACAGTACTCTAATCATTATCAAGAATCCGAAGAAAACACAACTTTTAAGGTATCTAAGGGACATAACTCTTAACAGTTAATGTCAAAATAATCAAATTCAAACTGGACCTGTATTTTATGGTCAATGACAGATCATGATATTGTTCTACATGTAATGTCGGTTTTAGAGAATTTTTTTTTTTAATCAACTAATCAACTATTTAACAAAGGAACAAACTACTAAGTATAGTTTCTTTTAAAGAAAGTTCTTTTGTTGAGTTGTGATTTAATGTAATTAATGATGTTTCCATTAATTGATAAAATAACAAATATTAAATTAATGTGTTTCACATGTTTACTTTTTTTGTAAGAAACTCATTTTCTTTATATTTCAACCAAATTTCTTTATATTTCAACCAAATTAAATTGTAAAAATAATATATGTGTTCTTATGAGGAGAAAAGAAAACAACTGAAGACAAAATTATGATCAAATAAGATAAGATTCTTCTTACAATTCAGCTTGTTGCAACACTTAGTTTGTTAAAATCCAACCAAATGCCTTCAAAATATTTAAAAAAGAATAGTAAAAGTGACGCCACCAAAATTCAAACTTGATCTGTGTTTTTTGGTAATAAGCATTGTGTATAAGTTTCATAACATTTGAATCATAAAAAATGCTATTATATGATGTATGGTAAAAATTTCTATGTGATGAATACTAAGTTGTGACGGAAGCCAGTCATTTCGTACCTTGACCAGTTCGTACCCAAATTTGCCATTTCGTACCCAACATTTACCATTCTGTACCCACGATAAAATCCATTTCGTACCCTATGGAGTAGATGCAATTACCATTTCGTACCTAATGGATTAAATATATGTTTACAATTTCGTATCATATATTTGTAAAAGTTATCATGATTTTAATGTTTTTTAAAAAATAAAATAAATTAAATTATGCATCCAGTCGTAGAAATTTCATAAAGACCGATGATTGGTTTGATTAAGCAGCACTTGGAAATCTTATTAGTTTAATTACACTTTTTTTGTTTGCAGGATTTGTCTTTAATTAATTTTTCAACTATAAAAATATGAGGTTAATTAACCAACAAAGAAATAATTATCTGCAACTGTTGTCATAGTTATTAACATTTGTTTTTGTCAGGAAATGCAGTGAAAAGGGACACAAGCTGATTTTTACCCAAAAAGGAAGCCATGAATAAAAGTGTTTGCATATGAATTTGCATCTTATGTGACCAATCAAAGAACTTGCTATGGCTTTTTCAATTTGAGAAATTACAGACAACCAAATGCAATAGATAACTTTTTCTGAAGATGGTTTTCCATAAAAAGTGCAAGCCAAAACGGCAACTATGCACAATTCGTCCAAGACAAGAAGCACTACAATGTGATAGCTGTTTACAATGACAGCATCGTCTATGTGGGACAGGTAGGGATTGCTATACATACAAACCTTCCATGAGGTACGAAATGGTATACATATAAATCTTCCATGACGTACCAAAGGGTAAACATACAAATCTTCCATGAGGTACGAAATGGCATACATATAAATCTTCAATAAGGTACGAAATGGCGCACATCAATGAGACATTTTTTACCAAGAAATGAAACACATATAAATCTTCCATGAGGTACGAAATGGCATACATATAAATCTTCCATGAGGTACGAAATGGTATACATACAAACCTTCCATGAGGTACGAAATGGTCAAGGTACGAAATGGTCAGGGTACGAAATGGTTTATGCCAGGGTACGAAATGGGGGGTACAAAAAGTTAGGGTACGAAATAACTATAATTCGTTGTGACAAGGCAGTTTACATCGACAAATTAATTTGATTATCGGTTCTTTTAATTGGTCGGTTCGTTTGGTTGGATGAAATACAATGTAAAACAAAATTGCATTGGACTGCAAAGAACAGACTGCAACACTTACAAAATTTCAAAAAAATATACATGTAATAAACCCTTCTCTACAGACTTTTGGTTATGAACCTGTTTAGATCAACCATCAATATATGGCTTTGTACATTTATGAATCAAGCATGAATATGCAATGTATCATTTGGACAAAGGTAAATGATTTTTTCCTTGAGAATACTAAAAGATCAATTTTCTAATCAACCTCTTTTATCTTTCTTAATGTCTAACAATATTAATAAATACCATTGTTCTTGTGTCTTCCTCCTTTGCTTCATTAGACTCATGCTGTTTTTCAGAGGTGAAAAGTCTAGACAGCCATGTTGGAGTTATTAAATCTTTGACAGTTCTAAATAATGACTGAAAACAGAGTAAACTGTAATTTGGAAAAATAAAATATTCTATTTTATTCTATTCTATTCTATACTAGAAAAAGTTCACAAACCTGAAATTTTTATTAATTGACCGTAAGAAGATCTTTTTGGTTTAAATTTTCTAGGATGTACATATAGCCAACATTCTTATGGGGTGTAGAATTTTGATTATGGGAAATGTTCTAGTGTATATTTTCCTCCCACTTATGTGTTTTTTATTATGTCGGGATTAAAACCATAAGGAAAAGTTGTAATGGAATTTGCTACATTTTTCTAACAGAACCTAAATTGCACCAAGTACCCAATTTGCATCCATTTTGCAAAATAAACTGCTGCAGAAATCTTACAGGTTTTCTAAGAAACTATAAACTAAAATATATACACAAAACGGTCACATTATATATCAACAGATAATAGATGAAGTATCCCGTGAAAAAAGTAAAATCTATGGAAAAGTCCCATTTGATGTCCACAAAGGTCAACTCCTAAAAATGAGCAATTGAAATATGTCAAAGGCATCCATTTCTTCCAAAATGCATATATTAAGCATGGACTATTGTTGAAATGTTCTAAAATTGTGAAGATATAAAACAAAACATTAGTTATTTGATTTTTAGGGATGTGAAGTTAAGCGTGGATGCAATTTAGGTACTCCTCATTACAGAATTTTGTGTTGTTTGGAGGTCGTTTCAAACCTGTTTTTCTATGATTCAGTATGGATTTAAATGAGGGAGGGTTTCTTTGTTTGTTTAGTTTTTTTTTATTGGGGGAGGTGGGAGAGGCCTACAAATTAACTTCGTTTTTTTTCCTTCTCAATTACAATTAACTTAGTGACCACTCTTTTTAGACCTTGATAAAATCATCACAGCATCATGCTTATTGCTATAAAATCGCCATACCAAAGTGACAAATGTAATATTTTTATTACTTCAAAAACAATTACTGATAAACACTAATTTACTCAATTCCATAATTATAATAAGATAAGATATTTTTATTTCCAATTATGGGCCCCAAAGGGCATAAACATTACAACATCAATAATTTTTCATAATACAATACAAACAATGAGATAAAAAAAAAAAAGAAAAGTTTAACGAGAACTATTTAAGTTCTTAAAGAATACGTAGATAAAGAATCTATAGTATGTTTTTTTTTTAATACTTATGCATTTTATTGCAAGTGTGGTTGATATAGATAACAAACAAACAGCCCAAAAAGAAAAATAGATATCCATACATGTATATGTATAGTACACAAAAAGTTGGATCAATTAAACATATAATAATTAGCCAAAAAGAAAGTAGAAATTAAGCATGTCCATGACTCATCCTGTGTCAGCAGCAAATAGGAAAGTATTATGGTTTCCTAAAGGCAGCTGACACCAGGGGGTGATACCTTATGGGCCATAGGCATGTAAAATGTGTGTAAATGTCTCTTTCCTACCTGTATCAAAAGCAAACAAGGAAGCATCATGGGTAACTTGAATGCAGTTGATACCCGAGGGGACGATGCCTCCAGGATATAAGAGACCATTTGAATAAATAATATATCTTAACAATTAATTTTTTTTTTTTAATCGGCTAGTATGTTTGTGATATTCAGATGAATATAATTTTCTATGTCCAATCAAATGTATATACACACATAGATTTCCTTTAACTAATCTTCACTAAGGAAGATGTTTGTATATAAAATTACATATTATTTTAAGTAACTCAACATTTTCTACACTAAATAACCAGATAATTTTGCTTTGAATGCTCATATGATTAAAATAAGAATTATATTATATATTTATGAATTTTAATCCTTGTCCGGAGTAGATTTTTATATTGCACAAGCTTGCCAGTGCAATATATATTTAAGAAGAATAGTCTTCACCAATATGCAATAACCCTAATGCAAAGATTGAAAACTGTTTAAAACATATGTTTGTCACTGATGATGTCAATATTTTGAAGCTATATTTCAAAGAATATTGCATGCTAAATTTTCTATTAAAACATTCTGTGGGAAATATGTTGTTATACATTTATTGCAGGCTCACTTTTATAAATATTTTGTGGGAAATATGTTGTGATATATTTATGAGGGGCCTGATGGGTTATTTTCGTTCTTTGTGATCGGCGTATTTTCGCTATCGTGATCCGTTTTTCTACAGATTTTTTTTTTTTTATATTTTCGTGATCCGTGATCATGGAAATTTATTTTCTGTGAATCGTGATTGACAAAAATATCAACTCGTGAATCGTGATGAGACCCCCCCCATCAGGCCCCTCATTTATTGCAGGCTCACTTTTATAAATATTTTGTGGGAAATATGTTGTGATACATTAATTGCAGGTTCACTTTTATAAATATTTTGTGGGAAATATGTTGCTATACATTTACATTCAATATTATATATCTCTCACCAATTAATGTTTGTGGTAATCTGTCTGAGGAGTTAATGAATTCACTTCAATGATAAATCTTTCTCTTTTTGACTTTCTAAACATGTACCAAAATGTCTTGAAACAACAAACACAAAGAAAAAGCACTTTATTGCTTAATTTACATTTATCAATTCCTTAAATGATCTTGAATCCATAGCACTTGGGGGCACAAACATCCCTTTTACTTGTTACTGTGTGTTTATAATAGCGTAGTACATGCCACTCTAGCTACTTTTTGAAAATAAAAGTCTATCAAGGGGCAGCATATAAACGCCCCCATATAAACTACAGTTATTGTGAAGATTGTATGATAACAGCCGCGGGACAAGAGCAATAATTAACACATGCAATATGGGGAAATAAAATATTAAAGAAATCTTAAACTCTGAAAGAAAGAAAAGAAAAAGGGGGCCTATAGCTAATTCCACAAGTCCGTTGTTGAATGTATAGCTCACAGTCCTCAAGACTTACTTTTCGTTCACATGGTTTGTTAATGCCATGTCGGAATTTGCTAATCCTCTTCATACCAACTTTTTCCTGCTCAGTCTTTTTGTCCATCTTTTGTCCTACTGCAATTACTTTCATATCCCTGGCGGTAGCATAGCGAATGATAAATGCACATTTTCTGGTCTTTTTATGGAACAACTTTCAGTTTCACTTTCGCTTTCATTTTGGGTGATTTTGGTATGTATCAAGGAAAAAAGTCACAGGAAAATGATCATAGAAAATAAAGTCACAGTAATAAAAGCAATGGTTAACTTTTATTGTTTCTTTCTTTTTGTTGAACGATTTTCGTTAGGAATTCATTAAAATGTTTTTAAATGTTTGATAGTTTTTATTAAATTTCGTCAGAGACATATTGCACTACACTTCTTCTTCTTCTTCTTTATTCTTTCCTCCACTATCTGGAGTACCACTACTTTTGTAGTGTAGCACGGATAAGCAACTGACTACTGTAAGCAACTGTGTGCATGTGCAGGAATAATTACCGTCAGTGAAAATATAATCGGTGCACAAACCAGTATAATTTCGCCTATAATCAATTGTTCAAGATACTGGTATAAAGGTTATCAACACTGCCTGGCATACCCACCACCAATTAAGTTAAACCGCAACGGCAGTTGGTCTTATCCAATACGAGCTAATGATGCTATCCCAGCTGGGTGCTCAATCAAACAAACTTGAGGCACTAGTAGCTTTAAAGTAACTTAATGTCTAATTAACTATTATACAGGTGCAGGAAACTGTTCCATCACCAGACTATATACATTTGTACTCCATTTTTAAAGGCACACGAGTTATTACGTCAATAATGCACTAATCTATGTATAGTACTGTAAAAGTTCATGCACTGTGGCATATACTAAAATCTAAAAACACTTTATGTGCCACCAAGATATCAATGTTACTGTGACAATTGGTTACTCAGCATATAACTTTCTACTTCCTATTGTTCTTTCTAAATTAAACCAATATGCACGTCTTTATTGGTACTTCCCTTAAACCGCCTTACACTGCACCAGTAGCCTTATTAACTCCTACTTCAATAAAAAGAACAAAAAACTAAATTAGGGAGAAAATCAGTTGAGCCAAGTTATCACAATAGTTACTTAATCACTTAATATTGGGATATATATTTCTATTAGCTATGTAGAATTTTCCTTATACCTTAATAACATTTTAATTTTAATTTTAATTTTAATTTTAATTTTAATTTTAATTTTAATTTTAATTTTAATTTTAATTTTAATTTTAATTTTAATTTTAATTGCATCGAGTTTAATCCAGGTATACCTCTCTCACTCAATATAACAATTTAACCATTTATATCAACCCCTTTAAAAGCTTCATCTTAATTATAGACTGAAATATAAGTATTGCACAAAATAAGGATACAGAGCCTATTCTTACCATTAAATTGTCACGTTAAATCTTAACTGTTTATTTGATAAATAATTTAATAAATTGTTTTATTTTTTTAAGCTATTAAATGATTTTAAATGATTTTAAATGATTTTAAATGACATTGCCATCCTAGCTACCAACTAAGTCCAGTATAGAGCATCTTTTATGGTGTAAGTCATATGCCATTCCTCTTGATATGGCCTCAATTTTCTCCATTAATAAGAAAGTCTGTATTTATATTGGAACTTGTGGACTAGACACATCCAAGATCACTCTCAATAGCATTGACTTGTTTGAGAAGACAACATTTCCTATTTCATGATCAATGTCATAAAGCAAAGTATATGTATATATGTATATATGTCACCGATTTCGTAATCTCTTTCATATTATTATATGGAACCGAGTATGGAACCTATCTAACTTTATTGATAAAATAAGTGAAATAATATTTAAAATAAATTTATCAGTTAAAGACCATTTAATTGTTTTTATTTCTTCCAATGTTTTGCAGTGTTATATTCTTTCAATGACAGACGACAGTATATCACAGTAGATGTTTGTCATGAAATGTAAATAGAAAATTGAAGCCAGATAATTAGTCTAATAACCTCTCTTCTATTGGTTTTAAAACTGAACTTTTTCTAATAATCAAGAGAAAGTTTATTCATAAATAAACATAAACATCAAAATACCACACCCAATGTTTTTGAACTTGTAAGTTTTAGATAAATTCGGTTGACCTTTTTTTCCCTACATACACAAAATTGGACTTAATTTCCAACCTGATTTGTAACTTTTTTTCCTACATAAACCAAATGTGACTTTCATACTAGATTAGTAACTTTTTCCCCTACATGTACCATGCAAATGTGTCATTTCATACCAAATGTGTGACTTTTCCCCTACATATACCAAATGTGTGACTTTTGACCTACATATACCAAATGTGTGACTTTCATACCATTGAAATGTGTGACTTTTTCCCTACATATACCAAATCTGTGACCTTCATACTTTTTCCGTTTACCGTATGTAACATACATTTTGTACTGTCTTACCCTATGGCACATCAGCTACTTTTCAGTTACATTTAGTTGACAACTAATTGTTCAAAAAAAGACAATAAAAATAACAAAAAATAGTGGACAGTACATCAAACAACAGATTTAATCAAACACCAACACCCTACACCTCCGAATAAATAGACGTTCGAACCATAGAGAAAGACAAACAACAGACAGAGGCAAACGACAGACAAAGACAAACCAACAAAGACAAACAACAGACAGAGACAAACGACAGACAAAGACAAACAACAGACAGAGACAAACGACAGACAAAGACAAACAATAGACAAAGACAAACAACAACGAACATCACTTGTTCCAAATAGCTTGACTTGACAAAACGCGGTAGGGTTACGTTATTTTTATATCTAAATTATTTAGATGGTGCATTTGCATTATGAATATGCAAATTGCTACATTTATTTTAGCAAATTCAATATATAATAATTATTACTGCAAATGCTCAAATTATCTCATAAGTCGAAGACAAACTGACAACGCCATGGAAAAAAAACGAAAAAAACGACACTGAAACAAAAGTCTACAAAACGCATCATAGAAAACTAAAGACTGCACAACACGAACCCCACACAAAACCGAGGGTGATCTCAGGTGCTCCGGAAGGGTAGACAGATCCTGCTCCACATTTGGCACCAGTCATGTTGCTCATGTAAATATATATCAGGTGATTCAGTCTAATTCGGTGATGTCACATTCGAGAAAGAGGACGGGATTGTGTTTACAATTGGAACATATTCGTCGTAATCGGTAAAAGAGATAATCCTATCGGTCAACCAACTTGTGGTTTTCAAATTTTCAAAAGGATGACTCCAACACTTGAAACCCCTTGGTTAAATAGCTTCCTTGTAAGTAGCAACCCTCTTTCAAGGAAATCACGATAGGAAATGCAATCTTTGGAATATCGTAGCAAGCATACGGGAGATATATACTCGATATACAGGTTCTGATGGAACGTTGCTACATAAAAATGAAAAATTCACATTTGGGAAGCTGAAATAATCTCTTTTATATTATATTTTGGTTTAACCAACCCTCATTTGTCAATTTCTAGATGCGAGGCAGCGGACTTAACTATATCTGTTGTATCCTTTATTTCAAGTTCGATGGGATTTATAGATGTTCAACATAGTCACCAAACTTGGAATAGCTGAACGTGAAGTAAACAGATAATGCTAGCCTTTTTTATTCTCCTTTAGACGCTCTTGAAAGAAGTCTACCACATATGAATAAAGGAACAAGTCGTCAAGAAGAGGAGCACCATTGGTTCCCATGGGAATGACGATTAATTGTTTAAAACAAATATGTTGTCAATCAAGAAATCAAGCATCTTGATAATGTCAGTTTTGGAGAACTTTTTGCTTGAATGAGGGCAGGGTGGTTTATTTTATTACAAAGTTTGATTCATCCTTATCTAACGTATTGAATGGGTCAAAAGTAAATTATCACATGAATATACCGAAAAGTAAAACTAATCACCTGGCTTTTAATTTTGAAAATATCTATTTAGGGATGGGAATTTCGGGGACAAAAATAAATGGAACACTTTTAGAAATCAACAAAGTTAATTCTGTAACAATTTAGCCAAAGATAAATCGGCTTGGCCTTCAGTGTTTAATAGAATTTATATATGTCTCCTTACTCTTGGCAAACATGGGAGTATTTCCCCGATTCATTTCAGATTTGGTTCAGTTAAAACATTATTCTATTATATAGTATAGTATAATAAACGATTCAAATTGAACAACATTGCCATTCATGTTGTGTAATTAAGGCAAATCTGGTGATGAAAGACATAAAGGAGTAACTAAAATGCTATCAGAGACATATGTCTCTGATGCTATCTACTTTATCTTGTTTTATTTTATGTATACATCGTTGATTTCCGAAGGTGGTGGCATGATCCAGTTGTTTTCTTTACCCCAGTGTTTATTGAAAGCATCGATACCCAGTGTATCTGGACACCAGTGTTTAGAATTGAATATGCTACATTTTGCATTTTAATCTGTTGTAAACCTGACTACAGTGTGTGGACCACAGTCCTGTTTTAGATATTTAAATGTAATATCATCTATTTTCCAATCATCGCTCTCCAACAGTTTTACTATTTTCATCTCTTGTCTAGGTACCCACTCTGGTACAATTTTAATACCGTCTGAGTCACATAAATGTGCCGTTTCTATTGTGATATTTTGTATATCAAATTTCTCGCTGCCCTTTTTTTGTCTAGCCATAGCGATCCTAGATTCCGTCGTCGGCGGCGTCTGTGGTTATTTTTTTTTATACATCAACAACTTTGTCAAACCTTCATGGAATTTTAGGAAATTTGGACAGGTTTATATGACGAAAATACAGTATCCAGAGCAAAATTTTGAGAAAAATACTTTTATTTTCATTTTCCGTATTTTATTGATAAATGGACATAGTTTTACAGTTAACAAGTAAATACAGTCTGAGGTTAAAGTTTTTCAGTCATCAATAACTTTGTCAAACCTTCATGGAATTTTATGAAGTTTGGACGGAAGCTTAGTTATGAATAACCAAAATACAGAATTCAGAGCATATTTGAGAGAGAGAGAAGGAGAGACGGACAAAGTTAACATATAGGAATTGGTCAATCGGACAGAGTGGGAGGGGTATTCCGTCTATCCGCAGTATAATAACAAGTGTTGATGAAGCTGTTAG